CAAGCAGTATCAGGTACAATCTAAGGAACATTGAAAACAAGCTGTGCATGTGCAGACAGCAACGTGCAACAACGCCACCCAAAAGTGATTCTGTCTGCCCTTATGAAACGTTAAAGGCACGTTACGTGTTAAATGAACACGTAAAAGCAGATGGAATACCTCATGTGGGACTTCACGTCCAGCAGCTCCAGAGAAGTCACTCGGGGCTCGCCAGCCAGATTCTGCAGAATCTTCAGCCTTGGACCACAATGCTTGTAAAACTCGGTGCAGATATTGAGCAATGACTCCCGCGGTCTCCTGAACTCCTCTCTGGCAATTCGTTCATCCAGCTCCTCTCGGGGCAGACCCTGGCCCTCCTCCAGTAAGTGAAGGTTCTCCCTGGAGGAAGATAAAATGAGGGAAAGAAGGAAGTGCTATATACCGTGGAAGAGCAGAGATAGATTATAACAACCTTTCCTGCTTGTTTTTGCAGTGGATGCTTTAGCCTTGCATCTGCAATGAAAAATGTAGTTGGAGAGGAATCATCACCTGCAAAGTCTTGTTGAGAATAATTTTTATATAAATTATTATATGAATAAGTTTTATATCCTTCACTACCCTCCCCTGAAAAAAAAAAAAAGGCTGCCTGTCGCAGCAACTGTGAGTGGGACCCAGTGAACCTGGAAACTACTGGAGAACAGTTCATCGCATGTCAGGAAAGACAGTGAGGATTTTACTGTACCTGATAAAGTGTAGTTTGGCTCCCTGTTCTGGGTACCTGGGAAAACAAAACAGTGCAGTTGTAAACAGCAGCTTAGTAATGCCTAAACGGTGCCTGTTGGGAAGAAGGTGACACTGTTCTTGCCCACTCGCCATGGGCAGGACGGTATCTTGCATCACTGGAACCACAGCTACAGGTCGGTAGTGACCACAGTGAATGGCTTTTACCTCCCAGCTGGCAGTAAACAACAGATTGCTATAGTTATTGCCCTTGTCATGGAAGGAAGAATCCAGGCTTAACAACCAGAGCTGCGGTTTAAGCAACTTCTCTTACTGATTTTCACCCCAGTGCTCACACTGTTTCATGAAGCTAGAGCTCACCTAGTGGAAAGAATACCTCATTTGCTGTCATTTTCTCTCACCACTTCTTCTTGAGAAAACACTGACAAACCCTGCACCACTTGGCTAACACGTCCGAGACTGGAACAGTGATCGCTCTACCACCGTGAGACTGCTGCTGTTGCTAGCAGATGTCTGTTGCAACGATAGCACAACAGAAGAGCTAAGGGCAGGAAACCTGGAGCAGTGCAAAAAATACTTTGGGTCGGAGATTGAATGTTTGATAATCAGAAAGATCTGGAAATGCAAACCACGATGTTTGAGTCACACAGCATCAGGAGTCTCTATGCTGCCTGTCAGCAGAAACGTATTAACTGCTTTCCAATATCAGCAGACAAACAATAAAGCACTACTTTCCATTGCATCTTATTTTCCTTAGTCTCTGCAATCTTGCAATGGAACTAAACGGCATATAAACACTTCAGACCTGAGCAAGAAGGGGTTTATCTGCTTCTCAGAACCGGGATTGAAAGTCAAAGCTGTGTTTCATCCACGCCTGAAATGGTCTTAAAGAACAAGACTGATTCCAGGTGTTACGAACCACGATGCGTGCCCTACACATCTGTAAATCAACATAATACCCCTTTGATGATCCACGTAGAGAGCGATTTCCAGCTCCCTTCAGTAAAACAGAAGACAGGGAATAAATTGGAATGCATGTCTTGCCAGAAGGGTGTTCCCAATTTACAGTCCTAAACAGCCCGTGGTATTGTACTCAACCATTGGCTGTGCACAGACTATCAGCTGTTAACAGGTAAAAGAGAAAGCCAGAGGAAATACGCTGCTCTGGCAGAACAGCTACTCCAGCTTTTGTTAGAGGAGAATTCCCTCTCCAGGTCAGCACAAGCATTCAGCTTCTAAGCCCTGTATGGCATAGCCTGGCCAGGAGAAGTCAGGGCTGCCCAGAAGAGTCACCAGTACTTCAAAGAAAACCTTAATAATCGTGGGTGGATTTTGTAAGTTTTCTTAAGCCCTTGCTCTATGACTGAGTAAATTGTCCACTGGCCTTGTCTAATTTGCAGCAGCCTAATTGGAATGGCTGATAGGGCCAAACAGCCGTGTTACAGTCTGCGGGTGCCATCTCCTTCCTTATTGCCTTCTTCCATGTGAAGAGTTTTATTTGGTTGGTTGCTTGGTTGGGGGTTTTTGTTTGTTTGTTTGTTTTTTAAGAAGGACAAAAATATTCCCAGCCATTCTTCCCTTTCTCTCAAATTCTCTGCCACTGACTCCTTTGCTATCTGTAAGTGCGAAAAAATCCCAGACCAGTGTGGAGGTAAATGTGACCATAGGAAAAGTAAAAGAAAACAGGAAAACTGACTTACCTGGTGTTCACACCCGCTGACATGGTGTGGTTTGCTGTTGTGGTCCCTTTGTGGCCTTGGTCACATCGGCTCATCTGCGGGGCTGTCATGGGCCTGGCAAAAGGAAGGTGAATAGCACACGAAAGACTAAATCTAACAAATGCACTGAAATTCTGCCTGTGGTCTGGTGAAACTCAGCACTAATTTTACCATGTCTAGGACTCAACTGTTAGTCAAGATACGTTGTGTATCACGACCTCCTGTGCATTTCCCTCTTCCCAGACTGGTACCCAAAGGCAGGCTCAGACCTTTGAGCCATGGGGGTTACCTGGTGAGAACTTCTACACTGTACAAGAGGGCCTGCAACGATGTGGCGAGGGCAGCCATAGCAGCAATCTCCTCACGAGCTGCTGTCACGGTCTCCGCCTGAGAGGTTTGTCGTTTCAGCTTCTGTAAGTAACAGGGAACCAGTGCTTCCAAGACCATCAGCATCTGGAGGCTGGAAAAATAACCAACAAATAGACTATTTTATTTTATCAATCCTGAAACTCACATCACGTGGAGGCTAAAGTTTCTATCTGAAGACCCACGGTTCTCTCACTGGCTTTGTGATTTCATTGCTGCTTACTAGGTAAGCAGTCCTGGGCCAAAGAAACTCGTGGATCAGGGACATCAGGAGGAAAATTAGCTGATACATGAAACAATAATAATAAAACCAACCCAGACTTCTGGGTATCTTCTGAATGTCATCCCTTTGGAAACATTCATTTTCCCTTCCAAAGACTCCACCTGGAAATTGGAGCCAGTGCCCTTGGAAGGGTATCAACAGGCAGAGGCTTGGCCTCCCGGGCTTGGAATGCCTTTCCATATCTCTGCCTCCACTTGTCTGCCTTGCTTCCACAAGCCATATGCAGCTTTTATGCCTTTTCTGAGTCTGCACAAACCGAGAAAAGAGATTAGCACCTTCTGAATGATTCAGGAGCGTAGGCCACCACTGTCACACACAGCTTGATGGCTTCGCTGATCGAAAAGGTCAGGTCTTCATTCCCATAGCAGAAGTCTGAGAGAGTAAAGCAATACGAGAAGACTGTCACACAAGTGTACTGAAGATGAAAGGAGCTGTCACACTCCTTCCTTTTTCCGCTTTTCAATTGCTTGTTTAATTGTTAAAAACTCCCTATAGGCTCTGGATTTTTGACAAAAATCTGCTTATACAAAGGAAGCGTTGCACTCCCACTTGCACCCTGCCAGCCAAGAACTCAGTAGGTGAGAAACAGTGTGCAGTGGGTCACATCACTGCCGAGCAAAAGGCCTAGAGCTGCTGCTGGAGTCCCGTTTCAAACATCACCCATCACAAGCAAAATCTTATGCTTTTACATGGCAAGGACACCTATCAACTTAATAACAATTTTTATTCTCCCTCTGCTTTTTCCTAGATGTTTCCACTGCACTAAAACTGACGCCAATACACCAGTGATGCCAGAAGATAGTTTTACTTGTAAAAATCAAGGCCCCTCAATACTGGTGGCCACATGGGCACCAGCACAAATGTGTCTGCTTGCTAGTGAGCTGAGAAAAAGTTTGCAGGAACATTTAAGTCCCATACAGCAAATATGACCTTGGGGATAATTAGTGTCAGGCACTGAGAGACTGAAGTATCCAAAGAATGACATTTGTAATACAACTCTAGTCCCGTTTTCAGAAGTGACTTTGGTAAACGGGAGCCCACGTCAGAGTTCAAGTCCCAAAGTGTGTAAATCACTTTGAACAAGGGAACTTGGAAGTCAGAGTTTTAGATAATTCTGGAAAATACCAGGCACACAACATACTCCTCTACAGTCTCATCATCAGCACACACTTGGGAATATTCAGAGATGCCTTTAAATAACCCACCACAGAAAAGCCAAAGCTTTTCTAGAAATGTTTACTGCAATCCACAAAGAGGAAGAAATACCTTCTGTTTCTGTACCATTTTATATTGTAAATTACGCAACATCATGAAATCCCAGTATATAACAAAGTTTTACCTCTAAGGCTAGACAGGCTTCCCAGTTCATCAAAATCAGTATTATTTAAGGGAAGTTCAAATTCAGAAAATAAGCTGAAGGTTCTTACAAAAATCAGCAAAAATTACTTCCCTGCAAATCACAAAGCAGCCAGATTCTTAAATGCTGCATTGCATGGATAACTATCAAGGGGCACAGTGTCCTGGATAAATCAGACGGCCGTATATATCCTGCTTTGTGATAAATCAGCTCCCCCTCTGGAACTTGGCACTGCTGAATGTCTGAATGGCATCCATCATTTACTAGTCACAGCCTGCCCACAGGAGAGAATGCTTTTGTTCCTTGCCCACATGGAGCAGAGGAAAGGATGACACTGATCTTGTCAGCATGGGACAGTTTATTAGGCATCTTTATTCTTCACCGACACATGATAAAATTCAAAATGCCAGGGGCTAGTCTCAGACTAGCAGGCTCAATGGCTTTAGAATAAAATAAATGGATAACTCCCCTCCTGCAGAAAATATCAACAGGCTGGTGGTGATAAAGCCGACTTTAGAAGCCTCATGAGGTAAGAAACTGATATGACTGCATTCTGGGAGAAGGGCCCTGAACAAATCATTCTGCATCAAAGGCACGTTAGATCAATAAACAGCAATTACTGAACTGCTGAATAAAGGGTGCTTTGCTATTACCTAATGACTTGAGAGGCTTTTCTGCTTTCACCAGCTCCAAGATGTCCAAAATGTCTGGCGTATCTCCCTCTAAAGACTGCAGCAGGTCAAACAGGCACTGAGCTGACACTCCTTTGCTGGTTCCGTTGTTTGTAGCATCCTGTTTCAACAGACAGTCGTGGTTGATTTTTGGGGGGGCCCTATGTGCATTCCAGAAACCTTTATCTGGAGGTGTGGGCAACCTTTTATTTTTGATAAAGGGCCCACATGGAGTTCAAGAGCTTACTGCTATCAAAAAATAAGCCTTGCCTGACTCAACAGATCGATGCTACCGTGGGAGCATGATCTGAAAACTGCACACAGTTTTACTTCCCAGAAAGAGCAGATCTTTGCTGCCCGGTGGAGGAGAAAGGTGTGAGCACTTACAGGGTAAGTGCAGTCAGATTTGGCAGTCCCACTTCAAATTAAATTTCTCATAACTTGTTTTAAGCCACTGAAATATTAAAAAGTAATTAGTGAATATTTCAAAACATGCCTAATCCAGTCTTATGGTTCACATGTACTAAAACTTGGCATTAAGCTTTTAGTTCCTATTGCTGGATTCCAAGAAAGAATTTGCATTTCAAGAGTTACATATCACTATTGTCCTTTTACAACCTACTCATACACAGAAACCACATTTACTGCCCTGGATACCAGTGGCCCATTATCTCAGCAACCTGCTCCATCCTGATGAGCAGAAGCATGCAGAAATAAGTTCAGGAACTGGTCCTGTGCAGCACCAAGTGCAGTAAGCACATGTTCAGAGCGAACTGTGCCGCTGCTCCTGCTGCTTCCTCTGTGAGCTCTGCTGGGGGCTGGCTGCATGCAGGGGCTTCCCCACTCTGAGACCAGGGAATGGTGGTTACTCACAGGGAACTCCAGGAGAGGGGCCACGCTTGCAAACAGCTGCAGAATAAAGGGCTTGCGATGCAGAACGTAGAACTGGCGGCACGCAAACTCAATCGCCTGGCGTAACTGTGGGTTGCTTTCATAGTCAGCGTACACCTAAGCAAATGAAAAAGGGCATGAAAGTACAACTCCAGTGAAAGGGCTCTTCATCTCCTAAGTCACAGGCTGAATCAACTACAGCTTTGACATTCCTGATATGTATGCCTAACTTTTTTAAGGATGGAGACTTTCTTCCTGGAGAGGGTGGTGAGGCACTGGGACAGGTTGCCCAGAGAAGCTGTGGATGCCCCATCCCTGGACGTGTCCAAGGCCAGGCTGGATGAGGCTTGGAGCAACCTGGTCTAGTGGAAGGTGTCCCTGCCCATGGCAGGGGGTTGGGACTAGATGGTCTTTAAGGTCCCTTCCAACCCAAACCAGTCTGTGATTCTATGAGTCCGTTATTTTTTGTTCTACATCTCAGAGGTAAATTCCTCCCCCTTCCTTCCTAGAAGCACTAGACTTCTTTGAAGCCATTTAGTGCTTTCTTTCTCAATCTTCATCTTTTCCAGTTAAGCAAATCCTGTCTCTCGCAGTCCTTTCTCATTTGACATGTTTTCTAGATGTACATCTGTGTGCAGTCTCTTCAGTCAACTGATGTTTTTTGTGCAGTGCCCACAGCTGGGCAGAGCCCACACTTCAAGCCAGGAGTGCTGCTGATTGGAGCAGCAGAATTATGCCATGTTTCTTTCACAGACAGAAATCTGTACAGACACCCCAGAATGACATGTAAGATCGTTTTCTTTTTTATCCTTCAACAGAAGGACTCTGGTGATTTATGTTTAGCTTCAAATCTGCAACAACTCCAATATTGTGTTCTGCAGAAATGCTACTGAATCAGCTACTTTCCTCAGCAGCCTGGCAGGCTGAAGAGGTGAGGATGTCTTTACAACAATCAGCAGCATCTAGCTTGCTTCCAAGGGCAGTCAACCACCGTGGCCTGTTACACTTGTAATATCTCATTTACTTGAGAAAAGGGAAAGAATTAGCCATACATGCATTTCACTGAGGAAAGCGGAAAACCCTGCAACAAAGATAGCCCCTCAGGGGTATGTGCATGTAGGCATCAGGAATTAGGCTGTTAATGGCTGGTTCAATCCCTGAAGTGTTAGAAGGATTTGTTTGTGATGACCACAAAGAAACCGGCTGATCTTAGGTGCCTGGAACAGGGATGTGAGGGTTTGCAAAAACCCACAAGCTCAGCAACATATGGGTTTTCTTTTGGAATTGCTTTTTTTGCCTCCCACGAGTGGTATTTTATTAATTCAGTAGTTGGCAATAATCCATAAGGGGTGGTTGGAGGGAGGAGGAAAGAATTACAAAACTAATTCCTCTCGGTATTAAAAGTGAAAATGAAGGCAGAGTCCTTCCCAAGACTGAATGGTTACTGCCACGTACTTCAAATTAAGGTATTAAGTGAGTTTGTTTCAAAGGGTCTTTGTTCTAATGAATAAACCCATGCACTGCAGATCTGGATCCCATACACACTCATCTAACCATGTAAGGCATGATATTGCAGCTTCCAGTTACTAAAGAGTATGTTTAGATAGCTAAATTAATCAACAGTCCTAATTATTGTACTCTGTTAACTATGTTAAAAATGAACGTACATAAGGATGTTGTGGTCACTGCTTCTTTTACAGAAACAATAGTTTTTTTCTGTATTTGCATTATAGTGCTAAATCTCTATTTAGATACTGTCTTTGAGCCCTACAGAAATAATCTTTGCGTCTGTAAAAGAACTATATTGGGGATTTTTTATTTTCAGTGTCTGATTTTTCCCAAATGCCAACATGGAAAAAGGCATGCTTGTACACCTCAAAGTGAAGACAAACTCTGCCTCTAATACTTCCAATACTTGTCATCACTCACATGAAAAGACAACATACAGTTTTTCATAAACATCACGTGTTATTTTCTGTTGCTGTTTAAACTGCAGGCAATATAATTATCATACTATCCTAGTTTCAATCAGCAAGTAGCAAATCTAAATCTTTTCCCTGGAGAGGGTGGGGAGGCACTGGGACAGGTTGCCCAGGGAAGCTGTGGATGCCCCATCCCTGGAAGTGTCCAAGGCCAGGCTGGATGAAGCTTGGAGCAACCTGGTCTAGTGGAAGGTGTCCCTGCCCATGGCAGGGGGGTTGGAACTGGATGGTCTTTAAGGTCCCTTCCAACCCAAACCATTGCATGATTCTACACTTCTATGATTCTATTCCCTAAATTTCAGCCACCCTTGGAGGATAAAAACACTGAGGGAGACCAAAAGTCCAAAAATTTTCCAGAAATTTCACATTTTTGTGTGGAAGTACACAGTAAGGGAAACAGACATTCATTTATATAACAAAAAGAAGAAAAGAAAATGTAGTCATTGACTGAAGAAGAAAAGAGAATGCAGTCTCAGGAATGCTGATTTGGGCTGTCCCAACCTGATCTGTTGTTTGTCTTCCTGTGGCCCCACAAATCTGTGTACTCACCAGGACTCGGCAGTTTAAAGTCTCCCCGTTACCAGTCAGTTTTATAACAAGGTGTTTGCTCTGAAGTCATCCCTTGGCTTGTTTCTGGGGAAGGCTCACCTGCAACATGCTGGGGAGGACCCACTGGTACCCGCTGAGGGAGAAGAGGTGGTTGAAGTGCACAGCTGTGTTGATGACCGTGGCAGCGTACTGCCTCAGCAAGGCACTGTCCTCAGGGTGCAGGATCAGGGCACCGTTGAAGACGTTCAAGAACAGCATGATCTCATCCCCCCAGGGGAACTCGCTGGGCATGCCAAGGAACATCTCCTCCAGCAGCTTAATCCACAAGCTTTTCTGAAGAGTGTCCAGACCAAAGAGCTCTTTTCCAGCTGCCGGGGAGAGGGGGCAACAGCAATCATCTCCATCCACCACAGCCAGCCTCCCAACATTCCCAGAGACCAAAGGCCTCTCCAAAGATCTATCCCATGGAATTGACCATTGTTCTCCCTTTTAAAAACAATTTCACCCATCCTGTGCTTCTGGAAGGCTTGCACAAATCTTGACTTAAAGCAACACACACAAAGAGGAAGAATGATGAACAACACACAGATCCTTAAATCTGCTCCTCACTCCTCTTAAAATGCTAAAACAGATCTGAGCTTGTACATGCATCATTTGCCCCACAATACCTGAATGGCCATGTAGATTTATGCTGAATTTTTATCCTTCAGGTGTCCCACACATTATGGGACGTTGATGCAGAGTTACAATAAAAATGCTTCTGAAAGCAAGTGCCTTTAGGGCCTGTTACAGAACTTGCCAATGCTTCCCATCCTGCAACCGTGGCCTGTTGAAACCCTGGGTTAAGCTGGAAAGCCGACTTGACTTGGAGAGCAAAGTTTCTAACCAGAGGGCCGTTTCTATATCCCTGCTGCAGAATTTGCCCAGTCTGCACTGAAAGTCCATTGCTTCCTCAGAACTGGTGGCAAAGGACTCAGCAACCCTTTTCAGGTGCAGTTATGCTACTGGACACCGTGTTCCAGCTATAGTTTCATGCATAATTTCAATATATAATCACAACTTATTCTCATTTGGGTAGGTCTCTCTGGAGACCTCTAACAGCAAAGCCCTTTCTGCTCTTGTGATGCAAACCAACAGCCATGTATCGTTTTCCCTAGGAAAAGGTTTGTCAGCTTTCAGCAGTGCTACAAGTCTGTAGGTTTTGAAGGCAAACGAAGCAACTCAGAGAAACCTGCTGGTCCCTGTACAACCACCTGAGAAAGCTATGGACAGGCCATACCTTGGGGATCACTGAAGAGTGAGAACTCAGCATCAATGGCACTTCGGGGAAATGAAGGCAAGCGGAGAAGGTCCTCCTGGAGCATAGATACGTGGGACTGCTTGTGGGCAGTTGGGATTTTCTGGGTCAGCGATATGAGGAACAACACCCGCCCCACCTCTTCTAGCTTCCGGGTGAACACCTGAGAGCAAAAGAGACAAGGATCAGGATCAGTCTGATCAAAAAGTCCCTTACAACAGATATGCACTTTTCTTTGTTAGCTTCCATGGCTTTCTGTGCTGGAGGGATGCTGCACTCAAGGCCCGCAGGAACATGTTGAATTTCACAGGGCTAGTGCTGCACCCTTTTGCTAGGATTTGTGTGACCACTGTTCTTCAGCCCAGCTCACCGAAGGTGTATCATGTTTGTAAAAGAGGTTTTAACAACACTTGCAGTCTGGTGGAGGACTCTGAGTGGTTGATAAACACTCCGCAACTGTGCCATGCTGTCTTTTGTAGATTAACGTAAACTTTGCCAGTGCAAGCCCCAAGGTGGTCAGAAGCAAACCAACTCCAAACTGAAACCTATACAGTTGCAGTTGCTCTCTGAAAGGTCTTAGACTATAGCCAGTGTGAGGTTGGAATAGTTATCTGCTTTCTGGGTTGAGGCTGGCTCATGTCTGGCCATAGAAAATGTACGAAAATAAAAGGTAGTCAATAAAACAAAGCAGACCATGTTCTGAGTTACTGTAAACAAGTAAATGAATTCAGATTGTTGCTTCTGGTCTACACCAACTGGGCAACGGAGTTTCGTTCTACCAGCCTCCTTTGAACTTCTGATGGGTAGGAGTAGTCAGGCTAGCTATTTTATTTTGATGCTAAAAGTAGCTATAAGGCAGAGTGATGCTCAGTAGTAGAAGCAACTGTCTTCGGAAGCAATTTTGAGACAGTTCTTAGCTACTGGGATTGAAGGCAAAACATGAAGCATGTGGCGTAACATGTGACAACTCAGCTTCCCGTGTCCTGCAGTTGCTATGACCTTGCTCTGAAGTGCACTCGGCTTAGAACTGGGTGCTTAATCAATCAACAGTGAAGAAAGTACTTTTCCATGGCTTGCTGCTCTGTGGGTAGACTCTACAGTGCTATTTTCTTTGCTGAAGCTGGATGATGTCCAGCACCTTCTAGCATGACTACAGAGAGGCTGATAGATGCTTGATTTAAGTTTTACCTTAGAAATATTTTGGCTTCCAAGTACTCTAAATAGAAAAATGTGGAATGTCGAATAACACCCTGACAAAACTGGATGGGCCATTTTAATCTTTTGGAGTCATGTAGGGCCGATCAAACTCATTTCTTTGAGATGTGGGACACTTCTAGAACTACAGGGAGAATGATTTCTGCCAGAGAATCAATCAAAATGATCCCAATGATTTCTGAATTTTATAGACTTTCTACTGACAGATGCAGCACATGGAGCATTTCCCTAGTCTGTACTGAACACACACGAGAGAGCATTAACTATACTCCACACCATTTTAGCTGCTAGCCCCTTCTAAGCAGCTTTATAGCTTTTTTTTTTTTAGAGCTTAGTTCCCAAGGGAGAGCTCCTGGGAGCTCTGCAGAGCATTAGCGGGATTGGACAGATTATCAGGTCATGAAGCTGGAAGACAGGGAGGACAGCACTCTTCCAAGGGTAAATATTCCCCCAGTGAAACAATCCGTACTGCTGTGCCTCTAGCACCTGAGGGCAGGACAAGGAGAGACAGGTCACAGTGAAAGGACAGAGAGGAATGTAGAACAGAGAATTCCTGCTCCACAGCCAGACAGACTTGAGAATAAAATTCAATGGGCTCCTAAAGAGCCAGAGGTCATGGTAAAGAAAGAAATAAACAACTTTTGAAGCTAAGGCCACTGAAGCTTTCCTGGACGAGTGTAGGAGAATGAAAAATAATCCACCCAAAATAAGCTGGCTGGAGAGAGTGGGAAAGAATTCACACTTTGACTCTTCTTAAAATACCATACACCCATCCAATGGCAACAGGGCAGATTTCATTCCATACTTCTCCAGCAAAGCTCTCTATCTGCCTGCAGAATGAGTGAAAGCCCTTAAAGGAAAAACAAAGGTTTATTTACAGTGTTTGTTTCTGGGCAGAGGTGTTTGGTAACAGTAAGATACCTGCTTCTGAATGAGCTCTTGACCTTTTTCTGGATGCATCTGCACCAGGTTGAGCTGGGGAGAGACTGACCTCCGGAAGGGATAAATGTCACGGACATAGGTCTGCCAGGAAAGGAAGCACATGTATTTTAAACAAGTGTAACAGCATCACTCAACAGAACTGAATAAAAAGACCCTTAGCTCTTTCTGAAGCTTTTGGGTAGGAGCTTTCAGCCAGTGTCCAGCATCACAGAAGAGCATAAACAGAAGAGAAATTTGCTCTTTTCTAAGAAAGCAAGATGTTAAGACTTAAGACCAAGGGACTCCACTTCTGCTTCTTCTCTCTTCCATCAGACTTCCATCTTTAACCACATACAACTAAACACCCACAGGACAGGTGCCTACAGGACAGAATTCTGTCTGTTTATGGGCTGCTTGTTCTCCTTTAGATAACCCCAATGTTTAAAAAGGGATGACATGGAAAGAACAGAGTCATCTGGACCTGACCTTTGCCTTACCTTGTTGTAATGAATAAGATTCCACCGCTTATCCATTAAAAAGTAATGAGAAGACTGTGTTTCAGGTATGTTAAAAAACTCTAAACACTCCTGAAGAGAAAGAAAGAAAAACAACCTGTTACTTATTAGCTGTCTTTGTACAAAGACCACAACATTCAAAAAAAGAATATTTAGGTAATAATGTATAAAAGGCACAAAACTGCATGCTTCAGTCAGGTCGTTATACTCTTCTGGCCTTAATTCTTGCTTTCTTTTTTAAATGATAAAGTACGTATGTTTGTGATAATCAAGGCATGCTGATATCACTGTCCTGAAGACTGATGTTACTTATTTCGATGTCTTCGTATCGCCCATATTTGTCAGGCTAAATGAGGCACCTGGGTATTGCAGCTTCCATCTCCATGCTATGTATTTATCAAGCTTTAGTGATAGGTGATATACAGAGACACTGAAGTTCAGATCCTTCAAAGCACTGAGGTGTGTGATTCCCATTAAAATTTAACACAGTTGGACAGACAAGGCTTTTACAAATCTGTTTCCTGTGTGGCTCACTTCAGGTAATCCAAGAAATTTTTGGCAGAAGAGGGTACTGGCCTCACATCTCCCAGAACTCAAGGTATCATCGTGGCTACTGAACCATCATTCTGCTTAGTGTTGATAAAACCGAACATTTAAATGATTTATATATTTATCCAACGGACCACGTACAACAAATACCCAACAAACTGTACTGTCTTCAAATGTAGCTGCATTTGTGGGGTTTTGGCTGTCTGTGAGGCCAGGGCATTTCTATTATCTTTAATATGGGATCCTGTTTCTTGCAACCAAGCTCTCTTTGTATGGAGACAGAAATGGCTGTTACAGCAAAAGGTCTCTCTCCCTCTCTGAGACAGGGTGATCAGGCAGAATGTCTTGCTGGCATACAGGTATGGCAGGTAAATACACTATTAAGCAGTTTGCCTGGTTCAAAAACTCACTCCTACCTTCAGCAGAGCCTCAAACTGTGTGTCCTCATGGACTGGTAACTGAGTTGGGATGTCACACTCATTCTGTCCATGCACGACGAGGGTCTTCGTGCCTAAAGGAAGAAAAGCCGTTGCATTTTCCCTGGCCTCTTTAATTAACTCAATTTCAAAAGGCTGCCCCTGGAGTGAAGTCATTCCTGGGCGCACAGACAATGCCTGTCCTGTCTGGAATCCGTTATGCAGTGTGAGCGCAGTCGCACACTTCTACAGTTAATCAGAAATCGATCTGTTCCTAAAGGACCGAGCTGCCTTTAGCAGCAACCATCAGTTCTGAGGAAGGAACAAGCCTAAGAGGTCAAATCTGTTTTACAGCACGATACCTTTTGCCTGACTTGTGAAGATCTAGGCTCACAGCAAGCTCCTCTTGGGCTCTCTCAAGACTTAAACAGGAGGTTGCATCAAATCAAACTGAGTCTGAATGATAGTCTTACAATGAGCATCCTGCTAGCCTTTCACAGCCCAGCTGGCACAAAGCTCTGGGTTGAAAAGACCGTTCTAATTCACTTTCTGTGAATCTTAAGAGCTCTTAAGGTGGCGTTCAGAATCTCAGGGAATTAGAGGTGGAGTTTACTGACTGAATGCTCAGCTCAAGAAAAACTGACTTAGAATATGCAGCCATTTGTAGCAGGTCTTTTTCTGATCCAGTTCTGATGGATCTCCTTTTTGGTAGAGCGGGTGATGAACTTGGAAGTGAAGGATATTTAAAGACTCATTTCTCATACCTGGCATTGAGGCAGTCACCAGCAGCTTCACTTCACATTGCTCCTTCTTCATAGTCTGTTTGAGATCCTTGAAGAACAGTCCTTCTACATAACCCACCACTTCCCAAAGGAAGGTAAGTGTGGCAGAAATGGCATCCATGCCCCATTCACATGGAGTGCGTACAAAATACATGATCAGTCCTACCTGCAGCCAATAAATAAGAGGAATCTCAGGTTATACGCACGCTGTGCAGAGTTATACTCTGCACAGTATAACTCTGTATGTATAAACACAGAACAAGAATATTATTCTACTTCACTCAGAGGGATAAACTCATTAAACTTGCATCCTGAAAGTTTATATGTAGACAACTCACAAACAAGAGGGGTCCTGAGTAGCATAGATCTTGACTGTTTTTTCATCTTCCAACTGAAAAAAATGCAGCAAATGCGTTTTCCGCAGTCTAGAAAGAAGCCACTAGATTTGCTCCAATAGGAGTTCCCAAAAGCAAAGCACTTTCCGAATCAAAATGAAGTAAAAGAATTAAAGGTTTCTGGCGGTGGGATCCTTCTATTGGTCTACAACTAACTGTCTGTGGTTCAGTTCAGAAATCCATGACAGGTTGCTTAAGGGTTTAATTAAAAGTTAAAGGTTTCTTTTTCTCTTCCTAGAAGGAATGAAAAGCTGGTTTAAGCCTGGTGACTTGCACCCACAGCCAGAGCAGATATGAGCTATAATGGAAAAGTTAAGAGCATTTATGTCCTTGCAGATTGTGACATTAACTTCTTGGGACACATACAGGCAGAGGTGAGATTGTGGGCAGCACAGTGGACTCACAAGATACTTACCAAGTAGTTAAAGAGGATATGAGATGTCTGGGCAGGGAAGTCTCCAATGTTCAACAAAAGCTTCCTTAACATATACATCAGCTCATCCTGGAAGAAAAGAAAATGGTTTGTCTTTCCCTGACAGAATGGAGAATGGGTATCTCCCTTTCATCCTCCCTGGTTTTATTTCGTCCCATTTTTCCATATTCTCTAGTTCAGCTGTGTCTCTTGGTGCATGAAGTAGAACTATGCACTTGTGACTGCTCCCGCGTTTCCCAAAATAAGGCCCAGGACACAGCACCCAGGTCAATGTCTGTCTTTTTTATTTGAGAGAGGCCAACTTCTCCTATTGCACTTGGTACTGAGTGTAGCATCCTCATTCTGTACTCTTCTTCCTGTGATAATCACAACAATGACTACCTTAATGATCCGTGGCATCTAGTTTGCCTAAACTCAATCGACGAGAACAGTGGTATTATTCATAGAATCATAGAATCACAGAATGGTTTGGGTTGGAAGGGACCTTAAAGATCATCTAGTTCCAACCCCCCTGCCATGGGCAGGGACACCTTGCACTAGACCAGGTTGCTCCAAGCCTCATCCAGCCTGGCCTTGGAAACTTCCAGGGATGGGGCATCCACAGCTTCTCTGGGCACCCTGTCCCAGTGCCTCACCACCGTCTCTGTGAAGAATTTCTTCCTGATATCTAATCTAAACCTCCCTCATTGATATTGTATGCCGAGTGGCAGTTGAGGAAGCGGGATGGAGAGTCTCACTGCCTTTCATCCAGTCAGAACTGGTATGCCTTTCTTCCATACAGCTTAGCCATGGCACTAGAAAATGGTCTAATAAGCCAGGGAGAGACAAGGCCACCCCCCGCCTTTCAGAGGAAGCTGAACAGTGGCACGGGTGAGGCAATATCGCCTGTGTTAGAAAGGGTTGTGCTTCACTGAGCCGCTGTTCAAAGCTGGGCTTAGAGCAAGTCAGATCCTTGCTGGTGGTAAATCAGCTGTGTCCCATTTACATCAGTGAACAGAAATTAAAGCCAATGGATGATATGGCCTAAAAGTCTTTGAGCTACGTTATAGCAGCAGACGTTCTTCTCCAGCGATGCCCACCGAGTGGTTCTGCTTGCAGCTGTGCCCCCCTGCCCTCAGCAATACACACGCCCACTGGGGAGAGGAAGGGTTTACCTGCCGGTTGCTAATAGTGAGCTTCTCAAGGAAATGGCGCAAAACCGTCGAGGGGTCTTCAATTAAGCAGTTCCACAGGACTTGCTGAGCAACAGCGCTTACTGTCAGAGAGAAAGAGAACAGTCAAAACCATCTCCCTTGGAAAAGCCTTGAACTGGTACGCTTAGACGCAACAATTCCCAACCTTCTACCACCTTTGTAATTTTTGCACTAAAACACAGAGGAGTCTCTGGGAGGCACCAGGATTCCTGGTCATCAGTGCAGTCACCTCAAGCAATAATGATAGGTCTGGTACTTGAACCTCCCTACTGGTGATACGGCAGGAAGCACTCCACCACTGTAGTCACAGGAATAATACCTAACTATTTGAATTCACAACTCCAGATGGACAAACCTGGCAATTAAAACCCATAAATTCATATACTTTAATCTCATGGTGATTAAAATCACCATGATTAAAATCACTTGATAAAACCACCATGATTAAAACCACCATGATTAAACCACTTGATAAAATCACCATGATTAAAATCACTTGATAAAATCAAGTGATTTTATCTGTTCTTGGTGAACAGTATTAGATAGTCAGCAGGGAATTGTGTTGGTGCTCAACTCCCCAAAGTGTAATTAATCGCAATCCTGTGAAGATTAACAACAACAGAGAATTAATAATTTTTTTTTTCCAGTACTCAGTCCCTGATCACAAAATGACACACATGTTATTTAGGTGGTTGACTACACCCACCCAAGACTGAATAGAAAATGTAACAGAAAGTTAAATGTGCAGTCAGCTGATATGATGAGTGATGAGAAAGGAAGGAAGAGCAGCGGTCCACCAGCTGCAAACATTTTAGAAAAACAAGTACAGAAAAAACATATGTTATTACTTTACAAATGCATCACAGGCCAGAAACAGAATGTTCAATCTGTGTATAGGTGACTTTCCATTTGTCATAGGATCGAAGCAATGTCAGTGGGAACAGACCTCTGGAGGCCTCTAGTCCAAGCCCTGCTTGGAGCAGGACTGTCACCAACACCAGATTATGTCAACCATGGCTTTGACTAGCCAAGACTTGATAACCGCTGTGGATGGGGGAATCCATGGAGATCGCACCATGCTCCTGGTTATGAAGTTCCTTCCCAATTTCTAACCAAAGAAATCTTTAATCCCCTCAAGTTGCAACCTCTTAGAGTTCCTCTATCTCTTTGTTTCCTTTTCATCACACAAACAAGCCCAGCTTCTGCAATCACTTCTCACAGAACACCTCTTTTAGGCCTCTTACCATCCTGGTATCCCCCCACTAGACCCTTCCTAGCTTCTCAACACCTTTCTTGAACTGGGGGCTTTTTTAGGGCCTCAAAAGAGCAAAAGCTCTCAAAACCAAACTGGAAAAAAAAAAAAAGGAAAACCCCTACAAAGTCACATTTCTGTTGTGAATCTGCTTTCCAATAGTTTGTGAAGATTTAATGGATATATGTAAGCTTTTTAACAAACATATATACTCATAACATCTAGCCTATGCTTCTTCTAGGGAACATGGAATGTGAGCAAATACAAGGTTGTGTTACAGCTCTTTTCCACTTTAGTTACAGCACCCAACAAATGTAAGCCGTTGCTGAAAGTGCTGGCAGGTTCTGCCACTCTCGAGCAAGAATCCCGTGAAGCGTAATCTACGTGAGTACCAGCTACTCCATCCTCCCGGACTTCTCCATCTTCCATCAAATGGACAATGGGGAGCACTGCTGCACAGATGCACGCTGGAAACACAGCTTGAGGTGGTTGTGGCACGTGATGGTTTGGAGTATGCTCTGTAGTGTGTTCTTCATCTGGAGCAATAAGAAGAGTAGGAGGTGAGTGTTAGTGAATAAACCATGGTATTATCCAGGCAGGTTAAGATAAACATCTATGTGAGGTGCTGTACAAAGAGAACACAACAGTAAGTTGTCTGATCACAGTGCAAGCACAGCAGGTTTACTGCTATCTCCAAGAAGAAACAGCCTCCAGCCAACTTCTTGATCAAGAATTTTCACTGTAAATATGTATTTTTACAATTTACATTTTTCTTCTCATAGGGAACCCATTTTCTTTTTGATGAAATCCCATTTCATTACCATTTTTTCAGCCAGAGTGCTCTCCATGGCACTACTCTGTAAATGAAACATGAGAAATAAGGGAAGACGTTGTGACATCAGGAGAGAATAACATAATGCAGAGCTGTAATTTATACATGGCTCAAGCTTGGGAATACATTCAGCTAAAGGAAATGCCACCAGCTTTATAGGTCAACGGGAAAGGCTTCCAGTGGATGAACTCGTAGGAAAGGATACTCCAAAGTGAAGTCAACCCACCTTCTGCACTGACTGCTGACCGCACTGACCAGACAGAGCCGCGGCGGAAGGAGTAGTTCCTATGAGATGTACTGGAGGTGCAGGAGGGACTCACGGAGAGACGGCGGGAGGCCAGGTTGGCAACTTCTTCTACTGACAAAGAGAACAGGAAATGTCAATCCACATCCAACTGATAGACTTTAGGGAACAGTTCTGAAGGAGAGCATTTGCAACCAAATTGAAACAGCAAAAGCTCAAGTCAGGTTACGCTCAAAAGGTACAATTTAAAAGCTATAAATGTGAGTCAGATAGTTAATTTGCTCATGCTTTGTGAACCAGCAGTGCATTGTTCCGTAAAAGTGTTCAGTGCTTTGGTGAGTCATACTGTAACTGAGCTGGCTCTATACTTCTTTTAATCTACATCCTGTTAACCATCCTGGTTGCTGGTGCTTAGTTTTTCCCTAAGAATTGGGATTTCTGCTCACAGATTTCCCAATGCATGTTTAGATCTGAAAACCACTGTACTCACCTAATGGCACGTACCTTGGAATGCCTTTAATGTAATCTTGTGCTCTGTTAGCCAGGACCAATGAAAATCCTCACTCAAAGGCTAAGCTTTTCGTGACTCATGTAATGTAATTTTGAGCATCTGAAAGTTTGGTACTGAGGTTGAGCTGGTCATCTTGGCTCCCCCACTAAGTCACCATAAAGGTATAAAGCTCCAGGGACATCTCAGCCTATCTTAATCTATGTGTCTTAAGACAGACACTGGCAAAGGGTGATTCCTCCCACCCTTTAACTATTAAAGGGTTCAAGTTAGAAAAGATAGATTTCATTCCTGGGCACACCAAAGCAGGGACTTTCCTCACACTAACAATCAATGATCCTGGGCATCACACCCCTAAGCAGTGCTCTGTGTTGGTGGGAGGTGCTCCCAGATCCTGGAATGCAGTTCCTGGCCCTGGAGCACACCTTCTTCTTCCTGCTCCGAGCTCGGTGTGCAGGTTGGCTCATAGCAGGCCTCCTGAGTGATGGGGATGGCAGTGATGAGGCTGGCTTCTCGGCCCAGGCGCTTCTTCTCTTCCTCCTGCTGCAGGTTCTTCAGGATGTGCTCCGCTCGCTGATGGGAACGTGACACAGCTCTGGCTGAGAATGACTTCTGTCAGAAAGAAAAGAGAAGAAACACAGCCCGAAGCTGTTAGTTATGATGCACACATCCTGTGTTTTCTGCCAGAGACCTCGGTGACCTTCATCAACTCAGTTTCTACACATAAATCAGACTAGTGGTAGATGACCAGACATTCACCAGTAGACAACTCCTGGAGCTACGTCTACAATAAGCCTTGGTGCAGACCTCTCCCTAGAGACACCTCATGAACCAGTGAAAAGAAATGATCTGCCAGATGGTTCAGGTGAACGAACCTTCTCCTGGAGAGAGAGCAGCTGTGTGCTCGTAAGATGTGAGTTACTGTCTCTCTCAGGGATGTGATATGCAGTACAGCACCCCAGTGAACAAACAGAAAAGCCTTACGTGTGTGTAGAAAATTCTGCATTTCTTACACGGACAGTGTACTAGGTTTTCCCCAGCTGAGGAAGACAAGAAAACTCAGAGCTTAGCCCACATCTTCTGGCTTTAGCTTCCCCCACGCTGCTACAGAATAAAACCGGTCCTTACTGTCATGATGTCTCTGCTTACCGACTGATCTTCATTTATAGGATCTTGCACACTCCCACTGCACTGAGGGACCCAGGGTGGGTCAAACATTGGCACGGATGGCATCCCCAGGACAGGAGAAGGCAGAGTGAAGTTTATACTTGGAGGAGGGATCTAACACAAACACAGAAGACATTTAGTTACAACAGACCATTATTAATGTCAGTACTGCTAATTAAACATGAGTACAAGTACCCAAGACATCAATTACCTCAGCAAACTTTCCCCAACTCTGTAGCCCATTACACTGTAACACCACATATGACAGATTTCTTTCTCTGATGTTTTTTCTGACCCGTGTTCCCATCACACTGTCCGCATTTTATACAGGGGCTCTACACATCACCTCCCTCACTAGTGTGACTTACACGACCATTTTTTTTCACTCAACAGATTTTCAGGCAATTTCATGGCAGCGTGTCATTACAATAGATATGTAATTCCCACCAGGCAAGCTGTAAATGGCATCATTTTGTTTCACGTGTCCTATCTACCTTAAAGATCTGCTGTGCTCCCTCTTCCATCCTTGGCCAGACTTGATACCTAAACCTCCAGAGCGTGTGGAATTTGAGAATGGCATTCAGCCTTTGCACTGTCTCGGGGTGATGAAATTCGGACATCAGCATGTCAGAAACGGCCTCTGGTACTTTCACAGCACACAGCAGGAACATGGCAGCTGCAAGGAGAGAATATCTGATCATCTGTTTTCCGTAGCAATGTGTTTGTTTGGCAGAGAAAAACTGCAGCTGTACAAACCCCCACCGAAAGGAACTTAACCTCAGCTCCAGAAATTAAATCAGCAGTCTACTTGCCCTAGTGAAAACTGTACTGCTTCATGAAACCAAGCACCTGTGATTCTGCCTTTTGGAAGCATGCAGCGTTACCTGGCATGCTTGTAAAAGGTTCTGGAAAACCTGCTTTTAACATAAAACACAGTTTTGCTCTTCTCACTGAAATCTCAGTCACAACTAGTTTAAAATAAGAAGCATCTCTTGAAGTAACAGCACTAATTCAGTTTGGCTTTCAACGATTCCATTTCCAAGTGATTTTCCTGATGGTGAATAAAGGCTGGTTTAAGAGAGGCTCAGCCTTTCCCTCAGAGCGGGAGACAGTGCCCCAGCAGAGGTCTGACATGTCTATTTTTATGGATAATACCAAAAATAAAAAGGTTCTTAGTTAAATGGGCACTGTACGATGATCACAATCTGCTTCTCGAGACAAAAGACCAGATCACAATGGAGACCAGCACAATAGAAATTGAGAAAGCCCATAGTTATTTCATTGGAACCTATTTGGATATAAACCGACACAGTCCAACTCCAGACCAACGGCGGCCAATTAACGTAGGTGGGTGTCTGAGGGGCACTGAGCAGGAAAGAAAAGCAGGGGGAACAGTGTTGGTGTGAGGGTGTCAAGAGTCTCCATGGCTGCTTTGACCAGTAGCTCACCACAGATCACTGGACACAATTTCTCTAGATTTGGTGGCTGTTCCTCCACAGTAGAAAGAGGCTGTTTGCCACCGTGTTTGTCCCAGCACTGAAGGCCACAGATGTGAGCCCTGTGCTGATGGGATGCATCTGCACAAAACCAAGGCTGCTCTGAAAAAAACACACATCTGCACAAAACCAAGGTCCTGCTCCAAATATGCAGGGACCCTCCTGCTTCGCCAGCTCAGAGAACTGCCTACTTCTTGGTGTTTTCCATGTAACCATGTCAAGTCTTAGTAGGGCTAATTTAAAAGTGTGAGCTCATACTGAAGTGACCAAAAAAAGAGCTGCAGCCTCAGAGGAGGTCAGTAGATGGTGCTGTTGTACACTAACACAGGAGTTCTTCCCCAGCTTGGACGGCAACATCATGAGTTTGTAGGTTTTGACCTTGATGAATGTCATCTTTCCTGGGGCTGAAATCACTCGCTAGTACTAAAAGATGACCCTCAAGTGGATTTTAATCCTCCCTTCAGGAAAAGGAGAACAAGGAAGATGTACCTCAGAGGCTTTTTGGAGGAACAGCTGCAAAGCCTTGTTTCCTTCCCTGTGAGCCATGGTCAGTTTGTGATAAGGGACAAAAAGCACCCAAAATTATTCCCCCAGAAAGGGACTTGAAGGGAAGAAAGGATTGTAGTTCCAGGCAGCTCGTTTCTCTTCTTCATTTGGCTCCTTTCTTCCTGTCTGCACATTTGGCTTGGGAAAGGTAAAGGGGAAGGGCAGAGCACAGGGAAGAGCCATGGGCTGAAGAAGTGCACCGTGCACTGATGGAGCAGATGGAAAGCGAGGGAAGAGGGAAGAACGTGAGATGTGGAGTCAAACAATGGACTTCAGGGCAGAATTCATGGCCAGCTGTGGAAAACAAAGGACGGGTAAGCCAGATGGAAGTGTGACGGAAAGGGGAGTGATGCCTGAGGAGCACCGCGAAACGCTTTCATTGTTAACAGCTTTTGATAAAAATGCCTGTAATTTAATCTTCAGTGTGAGAACATCTGGAATGGCTCCTTAGGTGCACAAATCTGGGGAAGATGGCAATCTTTAAGCCATTTCCTTGGGTGCTGCGGGAGGAGAAAGGTAGAATTTGACAGTTGTGGGAGATTGGCTTAAAACCAGATTTGACTGCTTTAATTTATGCTTTATTTAAGCAATCTGAGTGCTGTGTGTTCACTGATGTTCACAGTTTCTAGGGTTGTGGCTCTTGACTTCCGAACATCTGGCATTAGCACACACATTAGCTATGAGTGTTTGGACAGGACAGGATGACTAGAAAGGACCTCCTGAGTCAAATTGTCTAATCCTTTTCACAAATTCTTAAATCCAAGTGCATTTGCTCTCTTTTCTGGTGGTGAGAAATCTTCTGTTTTCCGGATGAAATAAGTCATAAAAAGCTCATACTCATCTTTACACTACCATGCCTGGTCTGCTGTATTTATGGAGAGCAACATTATCCCCTCTCCATCTTCACCTGAGTCCATTAAATAAATTTCCTTATCATAAAGGCTCTTCATTCTTCCTCCTATGTAAGTATCTCTTTATTCAGTGACCAGAACTGTGCATGGATGTGCTGTGTTCTAGGAAATTGTACAATGTGCTTTACAGCAGCATTCATACTTTGAATCTGTAATGAAATACCTCTTCTGACACATCCTGACTGTATTTATTGTTTCCACAGCTGAATTCTACTCAGTAAGTCAGTCATCTTCTGGCCAATTGATATACTCTGAATTCTGCCAAACCTGTATCAGTTCCATGGGGGAAGATCCAAGCTCATAACAGAACAGTTCTTATTAGTTTGCAAGGACATGGTCTTACACTTTGCAGTAATATATTTCATCCCATATCTGGAATTCCTTTTTCAAGGCAATACCCTCCCAGGTACATGATGTACTGTTCTTCTTTCTTTAGGATGCCTCTCAACCCTGTGTGATCAGCAAATGTCATTTGCACAATTTAACACCAAGTGGAAATGGAAAAATTAGATAAAAGCCAAACCATAAGACTAATTATTGAGCAATGCTGCTGTCTGCATGCAACATGAGAATTTTCCTTCCAGCACAACAGAGGACCTATAACAGTTCCACTCTCATCCCCTTTCGCAGTTTTGGTATCAGCCCTCAACTGGTACTAACCATTTCCATGAGGCAACATAGAAAATACTTCAGTAAACTTTCAATCACTGTGTTTCCTCTGCTTAGAAACCCAGCTAAACACAAATATTAATTTTGATCCACCACAACCAGGGTCTGGGAGATTGTTCTCCTGATCCTTCTGACCATCTCTTTTGTACCGAGCACAAAAACACAGGAAGGTCTGTGAAAACCAAACAGCCCTCAAGAAACTCTTGGTGCCATTAAGACCCCTCCACCACAAAGCTGCCTATCAATGCTGTGACCTACTGTGAGTTGTCCAGCCATGGTAGCCATACTACGTGGGTTTGTTCTCCTACCTGCTGCTCCAGCCATGTGCTCATCCACGCTGAGTAGGAGCTCCCATGCTGCCGGCTGGATGTCCCCATACATCTCTTCTGTGAGGATAGGAGCTGCCTTGATTAGCAGGGACAAAGGTGCAGGGGAGAGGCTCATTACCTGCAAAAAAACAAGCCATGCCTTACCAGCAGAGCTGTGCAAACCATCCACAGTGAACGACCCGCTCAGTAATTTTACCCTAGTTTTGGTCTGCAGGTTACCCGCTGATAAAAGTCTGGTTGCAGCCATTTAGACAATGCTCTACAGAAGATAAGGCTCAGCCTACACTGAAAGAGGAATGCTTGCGAGCTGGTTGCTTGAGTCTGTTGCTAGTCACTCATGTCACCAAAACACTGATAAAGAGGACACAAGGAAAGTCAAACTCTCCCAAGGTGGTACATAAACGGTGACACAGATCCACAAAAATCTCACAGACTGCCAAGAACAGGCCTGTGAAGAGACTGTTGTTTCTTCAGGAAAGCTGAACAAGAAAGAACAAAGAACACTATTGATGTATCTCACAGGTTGTAGTTAAACACATTTGGATTTTCATTTAAAATTATTTTAATTTTTTGTATCCCCAGTTTTGATACATGTGTCGCTAAGGGAAGCCAGAGGTGCAGACTGTGATTTAATGGAGCTACATGTTTCAAGGATTCTTTGGCAGGGCCACCTCGAGAGGCTTATATTTAGCATTACTGAGCCGGGGAAAACATGTAGGAGTCAACTGATTGATATTTAGGAACAACAGTTGCTCACAGAGGCTTAGAGGTCCGCATATATTTTCCTTCTTGTTGCAGTCCAACCTGACATCTATGTGACAGCCTCCCTAACTAGCATATGGCCTAGGTACCTGGTGCCTGATGTATTTTAACATTCCAGAGTCCTTCTTCCCTTCCAAGTTGATATCGACCACTCTCTTTTTTAGAGAAGGAGTTCTCAAGCATGACTTGTCTGAGCACTGAAAGAAAAAAAAAAAAATAGTAAGTGTAGTTCGCATTTAGATTTCCCAAAGTATGGGAAGGGAGGAAATAATGTACAAAAGGATTTTTCATACACTAGAAGCTGTCTAGTACCAGAGCAGTAGCACAAAGCCTTCTCTTGTCTTGGCAACAGGCCTAGTATCAGTGAGGTGACGTATTTCATCCATTTTCCTTCTCTTTTTAACAACGCTTTTCCCCAAAAATTCTTAAGGCAGTAGCCAGTAAACCAAATGAGACTGTGCACATGCTCTGTGTAATCTTCATGGTGGAACACCCACGTACTTCAGGAGAACAGTACTTTACACAGGTTAGAGGTCTAGAGCTTCCCTCTAAAAAGCTACCAGCGGCAGTGTTTGGTGCACACAACACTGATTCCTCTCAGCTACGTTTATCTTCTCTTCTTCCTCAGAAAACCTAAGTGACAACACATTTCAGGACTTGAGCCCATGCCTGCCTGAGAGCTGTCCCTAGCAGATTGCCAGTGCCAGTGATAACCACAAGTCCTTTTTATGCTCATTATTCACAATATCAGGGACTTCTCCCACAATGCTAGGTTGCCACAGACTCTTCTCCTCAAGCTAGCAGCCTGCTGATTCACAGAGGGGTCCTCGTTTACCAGAGAGCTGACAAGCCCCATGGAGCACACAGCCAGGTCTGCCCACTGCGCCTACCTCCAGCCTCTCATTCTGCCAGCTGCGAGAGCAAGAGGGAGGCTCCTCTCCAACCCAGGTAAAGGTGGAAATGGTGCCCACGCAGTCAGAGAACGACCATGCTTGAGGAATACTGCCAGAGCATGAGGTGCCGGGATGAGAAGTCTACCGCTACATAAAATTCGGAAGTTGTCGGTCGCTGCAGTGAGGTGTGTACAAACTCGGTGCATGTGTTTGTAGGAAACCTTAGTGTCCCCCAACCCCTTTTTACGTTGCTGATGCTTAAAGGCTTTGATGGTCTGATGGATGATGAAAGAATTGGGCTTGTTCAGCCTGGAGAAGAGGAGGCTCCGAGGAGACCTCATTGCAGCTTTCCAGTATCTGAAGGAGGCCTACAAGGGCACTGGGAGAGGACTTTTTACATGGGCCTGTAGTGATAGGACAAGGGGTAATGGGTATCAATTGAAATCAGGGAGGTTTAGATTAGATGTCAGGAAGAAATTCTTCACAGAGAGGGTGGGGAGGCACTGGGACAGGTTGCCCAGCGATGTTGTGGATGCCCCCTCCCTGGATGTCTTCAAGGCCAGGCTGGATGTGCCAGGTGGATGTACACCTGGTCTAGTGGAAGGTGTCCCTGCCCATGGCAGGGGGGGTGGATCTAGATGATCTTTAAGGGCCCTTCCAACCCTAACCATTCTATGATTCTATGATTCTACGAAATGTGTATCACTCTGCCTTGCAATTCCAAGTCCGAGATGAAACACACCGTGATGCATGATGTTCTTTTGCTACCTTTCATGAACACTGCCAGCTGCTCGTCTCAGTCCTGCCTCCTGTACAGAAAATGACTGCCTCTCTTCCTAAATAACTGTGATACACTACTTTTCTGTGTCAGGGGAAATATATGGGGGCTACAGTTTCCAGGAAAGCAGAATCATTATCTGTTGTTTCATCTGCTCTGTGCTTTGATCCATAAAAATACCCTTCGATTTTCTAACTTGATGGGAAACAATCTGCTGGTTGATGAAGAAACATTATGAACTTGCCTGCTACTCCTTCATTTCCCACTTACAGGGATGATAGCCTCTTTACCCAACTGAAATCTCGATGAGAGTTTCATGAACACTTTTGTTTTCGATGTTCCTGCAAAGCAGTTGAATTTCTCTGCCATTACAAGTACTCAGAATAACTGTAGTCTGTTGTGATCAGGAATATGAAAGTATTAACCAACTGTTGACACGATTGGTACCTGGGTGGGCACTTTACTGAGAGCAGAAATGTATTTCCACTGTTAAAGCACCCCTTATATGGCTAAAAAGGCGCAATCTTGTTTGAATATCCGGCTGAACTGGTCATTAAAAGTGCGTCACTAAAGAGACTGTAACGTTAAAGACTAATATATACAATTCTTGAAACAGCTCTGAGAACTCAGACCTAAAAGAAAGAAATTATGCAAGATTTTGCAAGAATCTCAAGAGTGATTCTTATTAACAGATGAGAAGAAACATGAAAAAAAGAGAATGGACTCCAGGGGCTGATAAGTAGAGGCCATAAAAGAACATTAAAATTAAAGTCTGGTTACAAGCTTTTAAATGACTGTGAGCAACTAAGATTCTTCCCAATCAATACAGATTACATTCCTTCCATACTGCCAAATGATGTAATAGTGGGGTGGTTTTTTACAGCAGAGTGGTGTTTAGGAAGGGCTGTGTTCATTTTGTCATGAAGAACTGTTTGAGTACATTATGCAGTCCTTGAAGGTAACGATGACCTGCCCAGACCAAACCCAAAATATTCTGCTTTTTCCACCTACTCACTTCCTTTTGCTTTTTGCCTCTTGCCACACTGTTCAGTGTGCTGTTTTCTCGCAGAGAGTCCACTGTGTCTCCATACAGGAGTTTGATGGCCCGGACAAGACGAGCACAGGACCGGCTGTGATGGAGGTAGCAGTGTGGGTGACAGTAGTCGATGTGGGTACATATGAAACTTTGCTGGTTGCATAGTAGAATCATCACCTTGGAAGAAAAAAAGGGATTAGTTACCTACAGAAAATGGAGTTACACAGAGAACGGCATAGGGCAGCCAGGGATGGGGACAGTCAAACTAAGTTTTCCACAGCCTAGCTGGGGAGGAATGAAGCTCAACATGGCTTTTTGGAAAGATATGTGTGTCTGTGCAGAGCTCCATTCTTGCAAGCGATTTGCAAACTAGCTAGGCAGGGCTAAAGAAACAACAGAGTTAACAACGCAGACAAAGAGGCTGAGGAGCTGTAGCTGCCTATGTTTGGCTGGTGGCAAGATTAAGGCTGAGGAAAACAGTATTCTCGCAGTTTGCAGAAAAGCTGCTGTACCGCCACTCCGAGATGAGGGCCTGGACTAGAAACTGTCAACTACTCAATCATCATTAAAGCTGCAAACCCACCAGGTTCAGGGGTTGGTTTCCTTCAAGGAAGGGGAAAGGAAATGTCTCAGAACGCTCTCAAGTAGGAGTAAACTGTGCCAGTTGTGCATATGCTTCCCACACCGTGCCTGGGAAGGCCCATCCAGCCCAGCTTTATGTTAGTGGGCTCAGTTACTCTTTCTAGTGGTGTTGCCATATGGCAGCAAGAAGCTGTAAAACCTGCCTAAGAAACAGAATAAATATTTGGGCATTTAGCTATTTTGAGCCCTGCTTTGCTGCAGCAACACTGCTATTAGTCCCTAAACTAATTAATTAAAGACAGCCTTGGTTGTCTACACTTGAGTGACTGCACTCTGGTGTAACTCAGAGGGTTTGTTCCTGAAGCAGCAGAGCTCAGACCAGCAGCAATTTGCACACTGGTCTTCATGTCACACACAAACCACTTAGTAGCACTCTGAGGAAAACACACAGCCATTCACAATGTAGGTTAGAACTGGCCTTTACAAATCCTTCTCTTCATCTACAACCTCAGAACTACCCAGAACTACCCAGAAAGAGGCTATCCCACCTTTTTCCATCCATTTATTGTCTGTGAAGCTGCTGGCACTCTCAAGTAAGGCAGCCACATCACTCTCAACTCTCAGATATTTAGGCTTCCCAAAAGTCAGGACCTTAACTTAAAACACATCTGTGCTGCGTATGTGGGAATTCTTGCCTTTGCCTGCCTGTTCTGGCCTCATGTTATTTTGGGAGTCCACCAGGAAGAACTCAAGACACCAGTGTTGTATCAATGTGTAAGTGATATACATCTGCTCAGCACTGTATAGCCTCTGCCCAGGCTCTGCTCCCCTCTTACAGCTTGTAGTTACGGTACACTGACCTACAGTGAGGACATCACGCTCCGGACTGCTGTAAAGGACAGGGAAAGGAAGTGCTGGTGCATGCACAGAAGTAACTGGGACCAGTGGTCCTTTTGCGGGGTTTTCTCATGGCCATTAAGTAAAGCAGGTTTTTGTTTTGCCTGTAGTTTCAGTGACTATCCACCCACCCCTTCCTTCCAACAAACAAACAGAGAAAGTTCTCATGCGATACTGGTACTTGCGTGGCATTAACTGGAACAGATGATTTTTCAAATCTTCCTTTCTCCTATGCAGGCTAATCACATGTAAAGTGAGACAAACATCTCAAGTTCCCTTCAGTTTACGCCTTGTATTTATGAGTTCATGCATCCTCCCACACTGAGCAAAGGCACCATGAATTATCCTAAGCTGCTAGCTAGGGAGATGCCTTTATCCTCTAGCAATTCATCACCTAGTACACGCTCTAACATACCCAGTTCAGTACACTGGAATTTCCAAATCTGACAGAGAAGTGGGGTAGTCCAGGGACTGATGTACTAGCTTGGAAGACACGACACTGAAGTTTCCCACCCTGCCACCCTCTTCCAAAAAAGACTGCTTTTCAAATCAAGACTGCTTCTGATATCCCAGTATTACATTAAACTTTGTCTTGCCCACATCCCATAGGAATGGGGCAGTTGAGAGCAGACTGTGTGAAATACTTGACGAAAGGGGATATCAACTCATTATTGGCAACTGTCTTTTCCAAAGGCAACTCAGAAGTCAAGAGGCCTCTGTCCTCATACACACATGCAGGACACAACCCATCTATGCACAGGGAGGCAATCCAACTTTCCTGCAAAGCATGTTCACATCGGCACGCTGACCATCACAGAGTGTCAGGAGGTAACAGAGGTAGAAGTGTACAGCCCTTAGGTGCCAGGGCATTGAACAGCTTAGACTTAGCCCAAGTGAATTTTGGCATGTCTAAGTTATGGGTACAGAGATCACCAAAATGAATGTCTTGGGCCCTGCATCACCAAACCACATTTGCAGTGTTGTACTCCCCATCTGTTGGGTAGAGTTGAAAATACCCAAGGCCCTGTTGGGTTAGACATTGTGATAGAATGGAGTATCTAATGGATTCAAAGAAAATGTCCCAAAAGCATTTTTTTTTCCCCACAAGGTGCATAATTAAGCTTATTGCTGTAGAGTTAATGGAGAGAAAAGTATATCAATCGGCTTAAAAATGGGTTGGAAAAACTCCCTGAGGAAAAATCTGCTGGCAGTTAGTAAACATAGTGCCCACAACAGAACCTCCAGCTCAAGTAGCTTCTAAAATGCCATTTCCCAGAATATAGGAGCCCAGCTCACACTGTCTCCCATTCTGTTACTCTTCCTGAACTACTCACTACTAGCCATGCTGGAGACCCTGAGCTAATGGGTTTTTCAGCTCACGTAGTATGGCTGTCCCTTCACACATAGGGAGAAATAGTCGCTTTTCCCTTACAAACCAAATCTATGAAATGGACAGAGGGAGCAAGACAAAACCTTTCTGGTTTTAGTCCATTTTAGAAATGGCAAACAGGTGATTTCCAAAGGTTGCAGCTTACTTACACTTCAGATCCTTGATGCTACACAGAGAAAGCACAGATTGCGATCAGGTTATTGCCAGCACAAAGGTTTTCCCACTGAAAATGCCATCCTTGAGAGCGCTGCCAGCGAGTCATACTTACATGCAGCCACGACATGTTCCGATGATAGTTCTCCTCCGCGCCTGTGTTGCTCAGCACCTCGGGCTCGATGCTAGGTTCGCTCGCGCTCCAAGGGCTCCCTTCTTCAAAAGAAAAATACCCAAAAGGTGGTTGTTTTTATTGCTCCCTATGTGCTTAAAGACTAGGGACAGCACTTGTAAGCCAGGCCAGCCTTGTGGGAACAGACCAGAGTACACAGAATATGCCACACTAGAAAGACTGCGTTTGGACACCCCTCCCCAATCCTTCTATCACGCTGGCTTGACAATTACAAGAGCCATTTAGACTTGGCCCACAGGCCATCTTGTCAGTAGCAAACACCGCTCCCTCCCCACTGTTTTCTTTAATGGAAGGGGAGAAGTTAAATGAAAAACATCAGAAACAAATTCTTTGCACCATTCAGATGCTGCAAATGGTTGGTTTAATGATCTGCATTGACTGGGCTCTGTGGTTAAAAAGGTCAACAAAAATCCAACCAGAAGTGGCATCCAACTGGAAATGCCAATAGGCGAAGTCACTGCTAATTGCCCATGGAAACTGCTAATGTCATGGGGATGAAAGGGGAAAAAAATCCTGATTCTAGCCCACTAGTTCTAAAGAACTCAGGCAAGGGGGAGATTTCTCTGGGAACTTCACTGACCCCTGTGTTTCCTCTAGTCATTTCATAACCTATGGGCCTCCTAGAATACTAACATTAATGCCGTTAAGAGAGAGATGGCTGGGGATGAAATCGGGTTAATCCTTTCTTTCTCCTCTTTAAGTGAACTGTGACTTGCCAAAGTCTACAGAACAGGTAATCCCACTCTCCATGTTCACCTACTGGAGCATCTTTCGGGCAACACAAAAATGACCATTAAGCTTGGGAGGTTATTTCAGCTCCAATTGTATCCAAACTGTAGTTTTTGGTTAACACCCCTAGCAGAGGGAGCCCCTTTAGTTCAACTGTGATGGAGATTTCTCATGACAGGATGCACATTTGGTTTCCGTAAGATAGATATATGTGGATCCATTTTTTCAAGACTAAGGAAAGCAGCTGTAAACTGTAAAAATATATGTATATGCCAGTATATAGAAAGATAGTATGTAGCATGTACATGTTATGTTCTGCATATGGAAATATATATATTACATGTCATACGACATGCCTATGACATCACATGCTACATAGAATATGAAATGCATGTCTGTACATATATATATCCTATCTGCTCATATGGACAGTAAATTACCATATATGCAAATGGCCTCATGTATTCATTATATCATATGATTTAGGGGTGTGTGTATGTGCATATACACACAGGCATGTGCTCCCCTAAAGACAGCATGCATTTGGCTGGCAGGCACCAGCATTCCAAGAGTTCATGCTCTAACACGGAGCTCTGAATTGACAACCTGTGCATGGAGCCGACGCTGCACCCAGGATTTGAACTGTGTTCCTCCCAGGCTCTAGTTCGGGCAGTCCCTGAAGAGGACTCTGGGTTTTTCCTAGCCTGCTGGGGTGGGGGTCTCTGGTCATTTCTAGCTCTGCTGCAACCACATCAAGACTTTAGGTCCTGCCTATTGTCCCCTCCCTTTCCACCCACTCGTCTAAGTTACCTATATCAGTGACAGTGTCCCTGCTGTGGGACAGCTGCAGCTCCTCATTCTCAGACTCTGAGTCCTGCCGTGATAACTTGGTGCTCTTTAGGCTGCCGGCCCGGCGAATGCTGGAAAGGGAACCCCCCTTCTTCACCCGGAAACTGCGAGTTCCTTTAATCTGGAGCAAGCGGGAGCCTCCTATCCTGATCTTCCTGCTGGGAACTGTATTAAAAGAATAAAAGAGGACTTTTTTCCCCTTAATTTTTCCCCATTTAAAAAAGAAAGATAGCCTGGCCCTCCCCTCCCTCCCGACCCTTAGCTGCCAGCCTGAATTGCAGCGTCCTTTCTCCTACCCAGGAACGTGGGGCCAGAGGCTCCCTTCAAAGCCACCGCCAATGCAGCTCTGTCAATCAGGCAGTAAAGATGCTTTACGGAAATGTGTTCAGCACCTCCTTTCCTGAGACCTGGCACGTCACCTCAGGCCTTGTCTGAGTTTGGAATTAGCCTTCGTTCAACCACCAGCAAGTAGAGTCAGCTGCTCTAACAGAAACCCAAGGAAAACCTGCGATTCACACCAACTTGAATCAATTCCTGCCAGGAAACAGGATCTGTCCAATGGATGTAAATAGCAGTTTTCTTTGCCAGCCTCTGGGGTTTACATTAGTGCAGAATCACCTCTTGCTAGGGACAGACGGCTGAATCCCAAGCATGAACAAGGCACCACGGACAAACCTATTTTCCTGCGGGCCTGGGTTCTGTAAACCTCACTGAGCTCTGCAGCAGGATCAATTATTTATTCATACAGCACGTGTGACTGCAGAAGAGGAGTCTGCTTCATGAGGTTAGCACGCAAGACTTCTTTGAAGTAAGATTTGCATAAATCCGTGTCTCTGCATGTTACTCTTCATCATTAGAATGCTTTAGAGGAAACGGGAGCACGTAGATCCTCTCCTTCAGACAAATCAGCAGCTTTCAGGCATTAACAACATCCATTGACACTCTGCATTTTTGATGAGCACAGACATGAAATGGTTCAATGTTCAAAGCACCAACCGTTTGCACTTTCATTCTCCTCTTAGTTCAAAGGCAGTACATGGCAGTATGTCAGTCCAAATGTTGCAACACTCAGTCATTTCACTGCAGATCTAATCAGGCAAGGCCATGTGTGATCGATTACCCTTTGGTGTGTAGTTGAGAATGAACAGGATACGGCTTTTTGGATGCCATGGGTAAGAAAAATATTTTCATACAATTGAATTTTGGTTTCAGGAAAAATCAAGCACACCTTTACTCCTGAGAATGCCCCTAATTCCTCCAGAACCCAATTCCCACTCCCATTTCCAGTGGCTAACGTCCTGGCTGAAGACAGCTGGATAGGTTTTGAGAGCTACTCCTCAGTTTTCATGAATCAGCTGGGCAAATCACTGTTGAGTGACCAGAGACCCTCCATGTGACCACGTTGAGTCCCTCTGCAATCACTAGTGGTTGAATTCTGTTCAGATCAGCCTCAATACGGTCGCTCACTTCCCCCGAAGGCCAAATCATTTTAGCACTTGTGACCGCATTTCATGAAGTCTGCAGAACCCCTTTTTAGCACCCAAATAGTACATATAATCCTCTGAGAACCTGCATCTATCTAGCTTCAGTGCCTGTATTTCAGACCTACCTGGAGCAGATTCTATACAGTAAACTTGTAGCTTTTGGATAGCTGTTAAGCCACGCCTGGGGTGAGCAATGAAAGCAAAGGTTTTAACACTCAGGAAAAAATAAAAGGAAACAGATTAGTACTCATCAAAGAGGTTGAGATAAAGAAACCTGTCACTGCAGGTGAGAAAAATTTAGTTACATTCACACAACAACATTTTCTTATCTAGAAGAGTGTAGAATTACAAAAGATGCCTCTGCATCTGTTAATGTTAATCTGGATCCCCACAAGAATATGCTGTGGCCAGAGGAAAGAATAATTATAGTAATCTTAAAGTGTAACATTTAATTATAGTAATCTTAAAGTGTAACATTATCTTGCATTTATTTAGCTTCCAAAATACTGCAAATATGTTTTTGCTAGGGTGTATTAGGTTTCAGCCTTCCTACCCTAATCACTTTCCCCATCTCTAAAATGTAGTAGAGCAGCTTTAGTAAAGGAATATTACATGGCACCTTAGGGAAAAGGGAGGATGGGAAAAAAAAAATCCACTGAAACTGGAAAAAAAAAAATCCACTGAAACTGCAGGGAAAATGTTAAGACAGTCGTGGATACAGAAAGTTAGTACTATCTTTGCAAAAATAACTCAATTCTGCATTATGCCCACAGCACAGTAACACATGAAGGAAACCTAAGTCAGCATTGTCTCCAAGAAAAACAGGATAGTTAGAGACAGCACCAGCATTTTCCAGCAGGACCGTGTGTAGGCATTCTCCCACCCAGGTAATATCCCAGTGTATGGGATTGCTGCTTGAGAGTCTGAAAAGTGGTTCCAAGTATTTGTCATAACTATCTTGAAAACACCCCAAACCAACCAACCAACCAAAAAAACCCCAAGCTTTTCCTCATCTAAATAGTTAGAGACATCTTATCCCACTGATCTTAGCCTACTGGGCAGACCACAAGGCTGTGTGCTCCTCTGGGCTGACAATATGCCGAGGGTACAAAAACCGAGGTTCAGCGTGAATTTATCCCGCTCACCTTTCTCAGGTGGATACCTAGCTGTCTTCACTGGAGTAGCTGTCCCACCTGACACACAATTTTGGAGGCAGTTTTACAGCATGGAAGTCTTGGAAACAGTTCTAATATTTTCTCCAGTAATTGTGGCAGGCTCACAGCTGAAGGCAATGCAAACTTTATCCAAATCCCCTCTGAAGTCAATAAAAGCTCCTCTGAATCATTAATACACGTTACAGTTCCTATAGGATAACCAGCCACAGACTCCATCCTTTTCATGCAATCATCCAACATTTATGCTTTTCAAACAATCAGCAAAATTATCATTCACACATCTGCACCTTTATATGGCTATTATGAGACAGAATTTAAAACAGTTCTAGAAAACTTGTTAAAGGGAGAATCATTTACAGGTAACTGGCATTTTAGCCTCTAATTGCAAATACGCACGATGACTGTATATTGTATTGCAACACTTGTACCATCAGATAGTATGTGAGTTTTGCATGAGATGGCTCAAAAATGGAAACAATCTGCTGTTCTCAGCAAACACAGTGAGCTTGAGGTTTGCTTGTACAGTATACAGTAGGTCGGTAACGTTAATCTGCTAGCCATCAAAAGCCACATAGGCGTGTGTTTTTCATGTGGTAGCAAAGAATTCAAGAGATCAAGTGATCAACCACTAATTCTGTGAGATGCCATGACTTCCAAACCAGTACAGATTTTCACAGAAAGATCCCAATCTTCCCTCCTATCTGGTTTTCTCAAAATGAAAAAATTGCAATCAAAATAAAAAATAAAAATAATAATAAAAAAACCAAACAAGAACGCTTTTGAACTTTATTTTTAAAGGGAATCAAATAGTGATGCTTCTCTCAGCATCCCACTGAGAGGCAGCTTGATATGAGGCATCCTCCTTTTTAGAAATCTTGCAGTGCTCTCATTCGGTTTCAGTCATAGCAGTGCTTTATAAAATTTAACGTCTTTGCTTCTCACATTTGTTATATTGAACCCTGAAGGCCAGAAGCGTCTCAGAAATGATTCAAAGCCACGTGACTCCATGGCCGCCTGCTTTTTAACACAGTCTATGCAAATGAACATAAAATCAAGCGCCACTTCACAAGCCCTGAGAATACAAAAGCCTTATGGTGTTGACAAACCTTTTTTCTCCTCGAAGCCAGCCTCAGATTTGAGGGTGTGGCTGCTGCTGTGCAGGGAATCCTTTGAATCTTCATTCTCATCCAAAACCCCAGCAAAGCTGATCTTTCTTTCATACCTGTGCCGGTCCATCTCAGGGTCCAGACGCAGCCTGCAGCTCTCCAGGTCCTGTAGTGGAACGTAGACCACAGAGATGTACAAGTATTATGAGCCCCCAGTGCTTTTCATAGAATCATGGAATGGTTTGGGTTGGAAGGGACCTTAAAAACCGTCCAGTTCCAAGGTCCAACCCCCCTGCCATGGGCAGGGACACCTTGCACTAGACCAGGTTGCTCCAAGCCTCATCCAGCCTGGCCTTGAACACTTCCAGGGATGGGTCATCCACAGCTTCTCTGGGCAACCTGTTCCAGTGCCTCCCCACCCTCTCTGGGAAAAACTTCCTGATATCCAATCTAAACCTCCCCACTTTCAATTTAAACCCGTTACCCCTTGTCCTGTCACTACAGGCCCTTGTTAAAAGTCCCCCCCCAGCTTCCTTGTAGCCCCCCCAGGCACTGGAAGGTGCTATAAGGTCTCCCCGGAGCCTTCTCTTCTCCAGGCTGAACACCCCCAACTCTCCCAGCCTGTCCCCATGGCAGAGGGGCTCCAGCCCTTGGAGCATCTCCGTGGCCTCCTTTGGACTCACTCCAGCTGGAGCAGTTGCAGTTTTCACTGCAACCATATAAGCTTCAGGAAGAACTGCTTCAGATGGGAATTTATTTCTATGACACAGTTGTCCACCCACCCTGGTACCTTCTAATCCAACTACTCTTCACGCTGAGCCAGACTGTAAACTCTGCCAGGATGAAAGAGTTGGCAGCTGTTAACGCAGATTTCTGGTTAACACTGTGGTGTTAATTGGCACCCTACCCCCTGGGTTCTTTAAGAACATCATTTATGCCCTTTGACCAGGATGTCATCAGCTGAGACTCACCCCCCCCACCAAGATGTAACTAGCTGAAATCTAAGATGACACTAAAGTCTTTGCTGTGTGTCAATGGCTGATGAATGTGAATGATAACATCACTGCTGTTATCCAAAATAGTTATTCCAGATAAAATTCTGTAGAATCAGGAGATCTATACTGGAATTTGCACACAAAACTCCTATAGGATATACTGGGAGCTACTTGGGTAGTGACAAAGTCTAAGACTTGGTTTGGAAAAGGTAAAAGTTTTCTCAAACATATGTTCTAGACTGAGCTGTGCTGAACTGGGTTACCTGATACTGGCCTATCCCACAACAGCTGAAGGTCCAAAACCATTTCCATCTCCAGGGAATTTTATCTTAAATGATTGTCAGAAAAGCTAACCGTTGATTAGCATAAGGGAAATATTTTGACTCAATAACAGAACCTGGAATATAAAAAGTTCGGTGCCTAAAGTAATGGTTTGTATTATCTCTACCAGTGAAAACTTCCATGTTAATAGTTGAACATGTATCTAACAGAGTTTAGGATGTGAAACAAAGGCTAAAGCAGTTCAGGATAAAAGTCTGATCAAATCTGACTGAATTACATAAATGAACAAGCATAAGTTGAGTCACGATAGCAGTATAGGTATCTTCCTAGGGCACGGTCCAAGTTATGCCTCCTGGAGTGTTTAAACACGTTACCCCTCCCAGCTGATGGTCAACATGCTTACATTGGAAACTGCTGCCCACACAAATTAATTGACAGAATGAAATACACCCTTCTAGTACACAGTTAATCTGACTCTATCTAACGTCAGCAACTGTCTAAGCTAAATGGCAAGTTCCCACTCTCTGGCTCTACGGTGGGAGCAATAGGCCCCAAGAAAATGTATTCAACATTCCCAGGCATTTGCAAAGTGAGGTTGTGTATACTCTCTCAGCTTCACCAAAAGGCTGTGGCTGAAACATCAGTCAGGACTACCTGCCTGACTACTACGCCTCAAACACAGGCGTGGGTGCTTATGCCCTCAGCCTGGCAAGTCTGGATGGACTGTGGGCAGTTAAACTGCTTCACCACAACTAGTTCAGTTAAAAATACTTCAGTTCTTCAACGCTGCCAGCTCCGTGCTCTTATCTGTGGAACAGGTATGCTTGCAAACACCAACAGAAGTGAGAGCTGCTCTACTGGAATTTTAGCTTTATGAACCGTAACATTAGGTACTTGATTCTTTTGGAAAGGAAGCATCAATTCATAAATACAGAGACTTAATATTTTAATCTGGAGCGTTGTTGACTCTTTTTTCCCCCCATATGAAGTTAAAAGAACTCTGTGACCATTTTGTCTAGGAGGCTCATGCATAACATAACCTTTAGGTTTCTTCTGCCTATGCATCACAGAATAATTCCTCTTCCTTCTCTACCACACACAAGCCTGAAAAGCGATTAATCAGCTGCATTTTTATCTAGCACAAAAGCACAAATTTCTGTTGACCTTCGTTACTCAACTTGTTCTTAGTTTCAAGCCTAACTACTTCAACTGAGGTGAATTCTAAACCCTGGTATTATCCTGTTTTTGGATGCAGTCATTTATTATGCAGTAAAAATATCAACAAAGTGTTTAGGAAGACTCCTGCTGCATTTATTTCTGTTTTTTAAAATTGCCCTCCTTGCATGCCTGGGGGCTGAGTCACTTCATCATAGGTCATCTACAGCCTTTGAAACCAATTTCAAAACCTAATTATAATGATGCCCACCCAAATCTGCCTTTCAAGCATAATGGTCATCAGCAAAATTTGATCTGTCATTAACAAAACTCAAAATAGCAGGGCTAAATCCTTTGTGTTGACTCAGAAAGTTAATTTCTCATTCGTTCTTTATAATTTTTATCCTGATTTCCTGAAGAAATTAGGCTTAAAAGATGCTGCTACTTATCAGCCATTCAATTCACATCTCATTCCGTGCTAATGACCTCTGAAACTGATGGTCACCTTCCGCCCAATTTGAAAAAATGTGATAACTGAGTGTCTGTGTGTTTTGTGAAACAACAGGCTGAAGGCAATGTTAAACCACATTATTAGATGTAAGAAAATCCCCACAAGAATGAGCTGCTGGAAAACAGATTTCATGGGTTCTGCTATTCCCAAAATTAGTTGTCACCTAATCTATCGTTCAGATTATTATTCGTGCCAGGATTTGCCTGTGTGTCTCAGTCTCGTGGAAATTTATTTCTTTCCTTGCCTCCTTGTTCCTTCCTTTCTTCCTTTGGTGCCTTCAATTCTGTTGTCTAAAATCAACCAGGTCAAAAGTCTGTAACATTGAAGCTACAGGAAACTTTGTGTAAACCATCCTCTTCCCTTTCTCCTAACTGCCCTGATCAGTTTTCTGTCAACTGGCCCTCTTAACCAGCTGGTAGCGCGTGAGCTGTCACCTCCTGCAGTCCATCTCACACAGTTCTCAGATCCACACACGCCCCCTCTCCCCACCCACAGTTTCTCAATCCAACTGCTGTCTTCTTCTCTATTTTGAAACTTTCTTTAACTTCCAGTACACATTGTGCTTCCACAGGTTTATCTTCCTAATCACCCCATTTGATGTGCCCTGACCATTTTCTATTCACCAGACCACAGCATCAGCTATCTACTGGAGTTATTACCCGACCCTACCGCTCCTCAGCCGGGCACAGAGCCCACTGGCTTCGGCAGGCATGGCTCCCTCTCCGGCGTGGGTTTCCGTGCGTGGCCTGGGCAGTTAGGGAAAGGTCTCTCGAAGGAAAGTGGTTATCTCCAGGAGAAGCTGACAGGCTGCCATTTTCAGTGCAAAAGGACAACAACATTTGGTAGGATTCACAGTGCCTAGGAGAAAACATTTCTACGGTGAGCAAGGCGATGGTACAAACTCTGGGACCAAGAGGTGATGGACATCTTCACACATGGTGCACAATGCAAGCTGCACTAAGAAAGAGGAAAACCCAGACTTCTATCCATGCTACTTCTCCTACGCTAAAAGGAGCACAGTCAAATATCAATCCATGTATTTACAGCACGTGCAATAGTACTAACACACTATAGTGTACTGTGCTATATATTACTGTATATTATGGTGAACTGTCTGCTAAACTGACAGGATCTTACAGCATTTCGTATACGCCTCATTTCAACTAAATACAGGTTAAGTAGATACCCTTTTCCCCTTTACAGTGTTGCATTCAGCCAAATCTTCCGCAGTTCTAGAAAAAAACCGCTCTAAAATAATTCTCAGAAGTTCTTAAAATACAGGGACTTCAGACTAGCCAGCAAAGTGGTACTGTGCCTCTCATTAATTTCTATCATAACCGGAAAAGATTAGCAAAATACTTGAGGTTTTTTCTCAACCGAGTCTAAACAATCAGCTTCAAAAACACTCCGCTTTGTAACCCATCTAATGCCGTTTAAAGTTTGAAAAGTATGAAGGATCCTTTAGTGCTTGATCAGTTTGAAAAATACCATACAGGGTAATGGACAGCAATGAAAGTAACTAAAAAAGAATTCGTGACAATAACTAAACACACCAATTTTTTTAAATAATGCCTGGTATTACCATCTGTTTACATTTCTGTTTTCATTTGATTTCCCTCCTGTATGACCTAATTACTTTTTGCACAGAAACAGACCAAAGCAAACGAGTGAGAGGACGCTGCTGGGATCAGATAAAACCAGATTCATTCTGTGGTGCTTGCTGATTCCTCTGTACACATTACCAGTTACAAATTATGGACCTTGTAACGACTAAAATAAACTGAACTATCAAATACAGATGAGATGCACAGTGTAATGGAGTATTCAACCGCATGCTTTATGCTCCTCAGTCTACTCCCTACAGTACAGAGGGCAGCTTTTGAAAAATCTGCCTTCAGGAAGAATCCAGACTGGTTATTTTCAGACCTTTGGCTTTCAGGAGAGTACCTGAGCTTTTACATGGCTTTCTAGACCAGAACCTGTTCTCCCTGCTTGCCTTGGACCACCCTTTCAAAGCAGCTCCACATCCCCTTATCAGTGGCTGAACAGGGACAAGAAAGCCTGTTCTGTCACATGGTGATGGGCAGGTAACTGCTCTTCACCTTTCAGAAGTCATTCATGGTGCAGGAGAGGGCAAATTCTGTATGCACTCTCCTGCTTTGCATATATCTCTTAAAGGGCCAGTAAATATCCAGAACAGCCACCCCCACTGACGTAGCTGCTATCGCTGGCACACCGCAGAGCAGCACATGTGAAAGTCTAGCTTAGGGCTAATAACGCCTCTTGAGACCATTTCCCACAAGTGCCATTTCACTGCTCCCACCTACTCCTCTCTATTCCGAAGTTGGCCTTTATGCAGTGATAAGAACAAACCCAGAACCACAGAAAAAGAAACCAGAAGATACGTAAACAGTGCTAGCACACTACATCCAATGGCAAACAACAGCACATGTACACGGGAACCAGTACAGTACAGCACACACATACATACAGATGGTGTCTGGAGGGGACAGAATGTTTGTTACCACCTTCACCTACAACAGTATGTGTTTTGACTTAATTTATTCTGTTTCACAGGGTCTGTTATAATTTGCATGCCTATCTAGACATTGAGAATCAGCGATCTGCCACCCCCCACCCACCCTTACGTACACACAGGCACAAATGTCTGTGTTTTAGTCATCTTGTTATACAGATTTTTAATGAAACTTTTTATATCATTGTGCTGTATTTCTGCCTGAGAATGAGGCAAATACACTGAAGCTGAGATTTAAAAGCCTTTGGTAGTGCTGTGCCAATTCACATCAGGTGGGGAGATGACTCTTCAGTGTTAAGAAACTGAAAAGCAGCTGACCTTACACAAATGTTTTGGCAGCAATAACTGGGAAGAATGGGAGTCTGAACCACTTTTGGCACCCAGGTGACACTGAGACTCAAGAAATAAATTATTACCCTGCTTATAATTGCAGTTGCCAGTATGCAGGAATTGCAACACCCTGCCTGGTTTCCCCCCCTTTTCCTTCACAGTCTATCATTGCTGCTACCCATCTGTCATGCTGTACATCCAGGCACAGAAAGAACAGGGGAGGAAGCTGGAGTGAAGGTGAGGGACTGGGAAATACAGCTGGGTGGCAAGAGGATGAAAAGAGAAGAAAAATTAAGTGCTCCTAAAGCAGAGGTTCTTACAAGCGGGGGTTCTTGTAGTAAAGGGAGTCTCCTTACTGTCATCTAAAAAGTCTTCTTCCTCATCCTCCTTTCTCAGGCGCCTCTTGGTCTCCTCATCATAAATGAGGCCCAGCAGGTTGGCAGGGCTCTCACTCTCAGCGTGGCACAGCTCGTTGAGGCGGACACCGATTGCCTGCAGATAGGGAGAGAGAGAAAGCACAAGGAGGTGAGAATTTCAGCCCAACTCACCGGTGGTCAAGGGCTCTGCCCCGTGCAGGCTGTGGAGATGTTCCAGCCAGAACAAAATGTCCTGGTTTTACTTGTATTGTCTGCAAAATGCAGTAAAGTAGAGAAAGGGGTGATAGAAGATTAACTGCTTCCAAAACTAGAATTTATTTCCCCCTTCTTTCAACCAAAATTTGCAAACAGCATCAAATATGAGGAGGAAAAATTTTTGAAGATTTGGTTAAATAACAAAATCTCCAAACCAGCACATGATGGGCAGGAGGAGATTAGGTCGTTACTTTGTATTAATCTCTTCCCCTTTTCTTTCTCCCCTTGATATATATGTGCCAGATTTTTGCGAAGTCTGAGAATACTGAGAATGTGTATCCTCTGTTTAAGAAATTATTCCATGACTTAGGAATCCCGCAACAGTCCCTGTTTCCTCCACAAAACTGTTGAATGCCCATGGGAAAGCCTGTTTTCCATCCTTAAGGCAGAGACTACCTGATGCTCTTTCCAAAAATGAGCTGACAGTATGCATACAAAAACAGGGAAGGTGCATGGGTAATGGTGTAGAGGGGATCCATGCAGAGAACATAGGCAGGTTGCTAATCAATACCGTTCCATTCTCGGGAAAGGCATTGATAACCTATTCGTGGCTGCTTGCCAGCATCATTATCAGCATGTAAACAGTAGTACTGTTAGCAAAGCTACAGATAAGGCTGTGTTAGCAAGACGAATGCTTTCCTGCTAAGACACTGCAGAGCTCTTAAGGATTTTCCTCATTTTTCTTTGCTGTAGGTAGGTGAAGAGAACACAGACAAGCATGTAAAACTTCATCCTGTGATATCAGTTTGAGAGCGAGGAAATGTATTTAGTTACAGTTTTCAACAGCACTTGCTATTTGGCCTCCCTGATTTTGGGGTACTTTCAGAGAAAGATACTAAAGAGGATTTCTGAATCTTCTACGAGTGAGAACTGATGCTCATGTCAGCACTATACAGTTTTTCTGTCTCGGCTGAAGTGATGCTGAAATACAAAAACCGACAATTATTACAGCTCTTCTTCCATGCTAGCAAACAGTGCCTGTGAAACCCAGCAACACTGAAGAGGGTAGACTGCTACACAGAGAGAATAAGGTAGGATTTTCGTGGTTTGCAAGCTGATATAAACAGTTGCCAGTCACAGCTGTGAGCCTGCACTTTGCCAAATAAACTACATCTTTTTCCTCTTTCATATTTCAGACATTTAAAGGAAGATGTGTTCTGCATGCCTCTCCACAAAGCAGTAATTTATCACGTATTATTTATGTCGTGTTGTCCACCCTGATATTAAAGCAGTCATACATAATCCCACTGCAGCATAACTAATGAGCACTGAATTCCTAATGTGTATCATCTGCATGAATTATCCTTGATTTTCCTAGCAAACAGAGAGCATGCCACACTTTAAAAGAAAATTACTCTTAACAGAAGCCACCAAAGGAAGTGACAGACTAACCCTATCAGAGTAGATTTCACACTGTGTTATTTAAGAAGACAGCGTAACAAGTGAGATTGCCATGATTCAGTAGGCTCATCACTAGTACAGGCACTCCAAATCCCACCTCATGTGGAAAGGCCTTACCACTGCTCTTCGCTGATGGCTATTAGGGAGGCTGAATTATAGGAGCTGGGTAGGGAAAACAGGCTTTTGAATTTACATTCATTTTTTAATGAATTTACATTCATTCTTGGTCTCACTAAACTTTGACAACAGCACTGTAATATCACAATTAGTGAGTAATCACAGATAAGCAAAGATCCATAATTAGCACAAATTTCCAGCTTTATTTACTGCAAGGAAAAAAAAAAAAACCACAGAACAAGGCTTCAGTGCATTCAGAGACCGATAGATTCTTTTCTCTGTGTCCCAGAATCCTCTTTCCAGAGCAGCAGCCCCGCCGCCACCAAGCAGCAAGGATGGTGTGCTGTGGCGTTGGCAAGGTTCTGGTAGCGTGAAGGTAGAGACGGGCTGCGTGATGTACACAGCTTCTTGGTTCTGGAGCTGCTTAGGAGCTACGTGAGTGCACAATACTGCCCGTGGTGAAAAGGGCAGGTTAACACACAGAAATGGCAGCACGTTCTGCAGCAGGTGTCTGTACTACAGCAACAGAAAGCTGCTGTTGCTCCTCATGGTTCAGCCTATCTGGTTGCAATCTGGTCAAAGCCAACAAAATCTGAGGAGCACAGTTTCCAGCTCGTTTTTCCTACAAGCTTGGCTGTTGGCTGCCACTTAGGTGGCTTGCAGCCACCTTCAGCTGAAACAGCTTCTGGGAGGTAAAAGTAGTAGCAGAGGACCGTCCTTGTCCAGCATTCAACATAAAGGACATAGAGGAACTGTGCCTGCTGGGTGCAGACTGATCCTGGAGTGTGAGTTTTAGCGAGGTTAGTGATGCTGTGGGTAACTAGAGCATCCTCGCCTTCAGTGAGAACAAATGGAAACATTAATGGATGACAGGACACCTTGCAGTAAAAAGAAAAGAAATTGGCACTGTAAAGACTATTCTCCAAACCTTCTCTTGCCTTACAGTAAAGTGAAAGTAATGCTTTTCCCTTCTGGGACGTTCCTGAGCAGCTAGCAAACACATGCTATTCCTAGCATGGAGAATGCATCCAGATAAGCCTTATGATGCCATTGAAGTTACCATTGAACAAGAATGATGCTGAGTTGCTTGGCATCAGATTTCCCTGTCTCCGTTCTTGTGACCTTGCATCATATGGTGGCACTTTAACATTTCTAAAAGAAAACCTTCCTGTAATTTTCCAGCTATTTTCGTTTCTAAAAGTGGCAGCTGAGGGGGAATCTAACTGGCTTCTAATGGTTACTGACTTGCTTCCTGCCCTTTTGTCAGATTCTGGAAAAAAGGAATGTCTAGAGGCACAGGGTCTACAACCAGATGGATAGTCCTGACTGTCAGCAGTGAATGCAAAAACACGAGGACCAGGTAGTCGTATGGTCTCAGCTCGGAAGGAGTCCTCAGGGCATTAGGCTAAGCTGGTGACCTCCTGGAATATAGGATTCACACTATGTACTTTTGGAAGGAACTTCGGTGTCTGTGCTGATAGTCACACCTGTGTTTGAGACAGAGTAGGGTGCCCAGGAAGCATTCCCTGAATTAGCTTGAGAAATGGAAGGAGGAGAGCTGCCAAGAGACAATGTTTATTGGCTTGGGTGCTGAGACCCACGCTAGGTTCTCCCCCTGGGCTGTGTTTTGCAGTGGGAATGTACTGACATGGTCAGCATCAGTTTTTTTTACAATGTGCTCCACTGAGAAGCATGTGTTGGTTTAACCTAGGAGAATACGGGTCAGCAAGGCTGTTTTGGCATGGATTATGTAAGGACCCCAGGACTGCAGAATACATGGGTTTCAAATTCCCCTAAGCCTCGGAATTTATGTCTTTTGGTTTGGGTTGTTTGTTTGGGTTCTTTCTGGATCATGATGCTCACTGTAAAAATCTGTGGTTTTGTGAAAAGACATGAGAAGCACAAAACCCGCTTCCAGAAAGACATATGTAACAGGTACCACAGAGCTCAAAGGAACTCCTCCTACTATTTTAGCTGTGTGAAATGACTTGCGGTAAGCACCACATCTTCAACAGGTGTACCCTGTGGTGGGCTTCCAAAGAAACTGCAAATGGCACTGACAGGGCAATTGCCTAGTTCATTGTTGTAAGAGATTACAATCAAATACAACTTGAAGGAGCCAAGCTCAAACAAACAGAGACAGTTTTTTAGATACCATGTAGTAGCCCCGTAGAATTCCTTGCCAAAGAATGATGAGTGCTAACAGTTTGCAAGTGTGCAAAGAGAGAATGAACAAGTGCATCAAAGAGAAATTCATTACTAAATATCCCCATTTAACTGGAATTCTGCATAGGATCCAATTACCTGTACATTTTGGAATATTTTTTAATGTAAGTAGAAGAGAAGCAAACACTTACATCTCCCCACTGGTAGAAGAGCTTAGCTGCATTCCACTGCAGCTTCTGGTTCCTCTTGTTGCCCACGATAGGAGAACGCCCACGGGACAGGCCTTTCTTAGTAATGTTCACATGGTGGCCCTTCATCCACTCGGGCCAGTTGCCACGATTGCAGCGGTGAACGAAGCGTGCGCACTCGAGGAACAGGGCTGCTCTCGCCACTACAGGAGCTTCCTGAAATGTTAGCAGAAAAACCACTAAATCGTCACACAAATACATTGGGAGAACTCTCTGAACTTTAGAGGATTTTGCACTTTAATCAAGTACTTCGCAAGTTGGCCATGAAGTCACACAGGCTGAGCAATGTTTCCGCCAGAGTCTGAAACCAGGGTCTCTGCCTTGAGTCACAACTCTTGAGCTAATAAACCTCAGGCTTATAGAGGCTGGCCAGTTATGCTGACTCCAACCACTAGAGGGGCAGAAAGAGCCACGTTATAAACTTAAAAACATCGGTAATCCTTTCTTTTCAGAAACCATGTAACTGCCAAAAAGCAGAAGCATGCATCTGACACTGGAGGAATGAGTCAAGTTTTCAGCTTCGCTAGTGAGGCTGCAAATACTGCAAGTGCAAATGGCAGCATGGCATTTCTCATGGGAAGTCCTGCTTGTGCATCTTGAAGCTGGAAGCATGAATGGAGGCTTGCTGAAACTAGGAAGAGTGCAATTTTGCACTTACAACAAGCAGATATGGAGAGTGGCATCCATAAGCAAACAAAATTTCACTGGCCGAACCTCAACGGCCTTAGCAAGCATCAGACGATTTAGTACTGAAACGTAACATCAGGCAGCTGGGTTTTGAAGTGATGGCTTTGACTATATTCCAGGGGAAAATCCACCTGTCCCCAGCTTGGAAGAGCACTTTTCTTTAATGGGAGAAATGATATGGGGTCTATTTGAGTTTGTATTAAATGGCCCAGCAGGTTCCACGTTAGATCGATAAAGAGTGCTTCTGAATCTCTCAAACACAAGGTTGCTGAAAAAATGGACACTGTAATTTGTTTCCTAAAGGGTAGCTTAGACTCAGGATGGAGCTTTCTTCCCAGCAGTCTACAGCTCTACAAAAATAGCATCTTTACAGACATGGAAAGTTAATAAAAGCAAATGGGTCGCCTCGTTTCCATTTAATTTCACCCCTCTCTTCCTCCAGTTTTCACAAGTAAAAACTGTGGCCAGCAGGTTGTAAAACTAATAATACAACAGTGTCCACAGTTCACAAGCTGGCTTTGAACAGAGCACAGAGGTGTATTCCACACGTTTAGATGCTGACAGCTTTAATGACACAATTTAAACAGATCAGTATCTACTTATAAGGGGAAGTTCCTCATCTGTGGTCCATAAACAACAGACAGGCCTTAAGACCATGGAAGATGGTCTGCAGTCGGTCCATGGAACATTATTAAATAGTGCACCCAACAGGGCTTTAATTAAAAGTGGAAAGCAAGAAATTTTGGATCAATGCTCCAAAAGTTTGGGAATTGATTTAAGAAATTCTGTACTGCAACTAAACTTACAGCCAGAAATTACCACCAACAGGACTGAAAAAAAGTCAGGCCTTTTAGGGGACTGGCAAAAAGAAAGGAAGTATTAGGTTTTGTCACCATTAATGAGAAAAAAAAAAAAGTTAATTGCTTCCTGACACAACATCCTGGTGCAGCTTTTTGCTCATATTTTATTCAGATGTTGGAAGAAAGTAGCAACCTTTTAACAGTTGTCTTGAATAAAGTGAACATTAAAGCTGGCCCAATATTGTGACAAGGAAGGCAGAAACCTGAAGCCAGACCACTCATTGACAACCACAAACAAAGCTAATATTTAGCACCTGGAAAAACTGTGACAAATTACTTGTTGCTCACATGCAATATCAAACACTCAATAGGTGACGATTTTATTCTTTCCTTCTCACAGAGTAAAACCTTAACTAGACCCAGGGGGATGTACACGAAAAGATGAAGCCCCAGCCTTATTCTCCTCCTGTTCCAGTTCATCCATTGGCAAACTCACAACCTCTTAATATCTAGAGATCTTGTAAAGATACGCAGTGTAAACATTATGGAAGCACTCAACTGCTGTAACTAAACTAGGATATGTAGGATGGGGGGTGCAGGGGACGAAGGGTATTTCCTGGAGCAGGAATTCCAAATTAAAAATCACATAAAAGTCTTCCTGCGCAGAGGAGGAATTTCTGAACATCATGGGGCACAAGCTCATTGTGGTTGCTTACCTGAGCTCAGAGAAACCTGAAGCAGCAGCAAGAGAAAGATGAAGATGTGACAGAATGGACAGGGATGGATTCACACCACAGAGAAACACATCACAAATGGAGAGAAATGAATCAGGCAGGCGATGCACAGCTGAAAAGAACACAAGTTACCATGGTCACTGTCAAAACTTAACACAGCAGCAATACTCTCACAAGCCTGCCCGTGAGTGTGAAACTGTTCACAGGTCCACTTTTAACATCAGACCTACTTTATCTCTTTGCCGCTTAAGAATTGTTCTTGTACTGTATAAATTGACATGATTAAGAATCTACCATTTTCTTCACAAAATTTCTAGTACTCCCACTGGAGATTTTCAACAGATACACTGATTTGTATTAATAACAGCAAAAGCCATGTTCTGGGTGGCAGGGAGAAAATGCAGATGGAATTGGAATTTTACAGCATCACATTACTGTTCAAGTACAGCTGATTCTGCAGTGTTTTATGACTGCAGAGCGTTTAGGTCCAGTTTTGTTTTCAAGGGCAATGAATTTTATACAACTAATAAACCGGTGGTAATATTCTTGTGCCCTTTCTTGCATTCTGCAAGGCACTTGGATCAAAAACTCATTTCCAATGGTCTCTTCAAGGAAAACAAAAATAACGAAATAGCAACAACCTACTTTTAGCGTAAATAAAGTACTGCCAAAAGATGCTGACTGGATAGTTCTGCTTTGTCTACCTACATGATAAGTCTGGCATGAGAAGTACCTTAGCAGGCATGCGAGGACAGGTGGTGAGTAAATTATTAACCAAAGTCTAAGAGAATTGCTTCAAAAATGTTAGTTTAAATCTCTCTGACTATATCTAAAACCAGCCAAGTACAATCCACGACACAGCTCTTTGTTTCTATTCCTAGTCACCTATTCTGGAGACCTGGTTGGTGCAATCTTTGATTTCCTTCCAGGTCATATGCCCTCCTATGGACATATTTCTATGGAAACAGGGATATGGGAACAAGAGGGCTTGCCTAAAACCCTCGGTGAACTGGAGTCGGGATACTGGCAAGTATTCTTGCAGGTTAGACTTTGCTTCTGCCCTCCCCATACTTGGTAGGTCCTCTCAAACACAACCCTGCCATGAAGCAGTGCCATTATGGCACTTCAACAAGGATAAGAGCTCACACATCTCCATGGTGAGGTGTAACGGGGATAGGTGACACTGCTAAACAGATAGCATCATCACCTGCATCATTTACACTAATTAGGTAACAACTTTAGACAGTGCTAGACAGCAGTTTACTGGAATCCTCTGCAGAAACTTGACCACAGACCAAAATATCACATTACTTGCCTTTCAACCTCCAAAGTTTCTTAAAAAGGGAAAGAAAATCAATTCTATTATTGCCGAGTCTGGATTTAAGCTGGTGACATAAGGATGAAACTGCCTGCAACATGTTATCGTCACTGAATGTTTGCAAAACCACAAATTGATTGCAGTTTTATGATAGTCAGTCAAAGATAGACGCTGCTTCTGCGAAAATATTTTAACTACTTAAGTTTCTGAACCTAAGACAACACTCAATTTAATATATAAATAAATCATTACCTCCATAAGGATGCAGCCTTTGTTTCATTGTTCTAATTTCACTAAATCACTCTGACAAACCTGTATAAGCATCCTGGCTGATCAAACATCTTGAAGTCAGTACAAGAATGGAATTTCGAAAATCTGCATGAAAAAGCACGCTGAAAAAGTTTATGACAGAAATGAAACTGGAGCTGTTTGCCTTTCATTTTTTAAAGGTTGCCATAGCAACTAGGCTGGATAAAATGACTTAAGAAGCTTTAAATTTGCATCGAACCTGATTCAAACTTTACTTCAAAAGCCTGAAAACAGGAGTTTAAAACCCAGGATGTTTTCTGTTTGGGTGTGCTCTATTGACATAACATGTGGGAATTTTCCGTAACAGCATACACTGCCATTAAGCAACACAGTGAGATGACAAGCTCTCATCTTTTGAAACCTGCCATGCATGTGACTTCTTAACTTCCATGTATCTCCAATACTTTGTAGAGAAAAATGCCAGCAGAGCAGGTTCTTGTGAGGAGTCTCCCAAGCCTGTAATTAGAACAAGGCTTCTTTCATCTTTAGCTTCAGACCTTCTAGAAATTCTGATACCAAAGCCTTCTGCATCTTTCAGCGTGAAGGAAGCAGAGTCAAACTCGATTTTGCAAAAACCAGCTCTGCAGACACCTTCAAACAGTTCACTCTGACCCGTAGTCTCCAGTTGACTTGACACACGGGCTCAGAGTAGGCTGGCCTGTGGCTAAGGCATGTGGCAAATTTTAAAAATATGACAGACATTTAGAGGCAGTAGGGACATAATTGCCAGACCCCTGTTTTATCGTCTGATTTATGAGCACAGAGAGTAGCACATCTCCAGGAGGATGTCAATTAGTGACATACCTGACAGCAACGAGCTCCTCCCTGCCCACGCACCCAGCATTCCGTGTAAGTTTAGAGCTCGCGACGGGGCAGCAGCCTTGGGGATTGAAGCTGTCTTTGTGCAGCACACCATCAGGAGCGACTATCACCTCAGGCCACCTTTTGAGCTCTCTACAACTGGTAGGAGCCACTTCTGACTGTGAGAGCATGCGACAGGCATCCCTATCAGAAACTGCTTCCACAGCTTCCAGCCAGAGGGCCAACAGTCTCCAACAGGAAGAGTGAGAACTAGTGAAGAAAACACCTGTCTACTGGAAGATGGACCAGTCCAAACAGAAAAGCCAGAAGTGAACTGAGAGCAACAGCAACTTTGGTCAATATTAGTGCAGACTTGCTTGAATCTGAGGCCGAAGGATGCAAGGTTAAGACACAAAGGCATGGTGCACAGAGTGTATCATCCGTATGGAGCAGACAAGGGAGCACAGCTCAGGGCACAGCACTAGCAGAATAGGAGACTCCATGAGCTTGGCATCTCCAGCAGCGAGCAAAAAAACTGAGTATGAGCACAAATGGCATGGCAGTCAAAGAGGAAGAGTTGGGGAGCGGGAAGACAAAGGGATAGAGAGGATGTGGATGCTCTGAGAGCAGTGGCTTTCAATCTTTTTCAGTGTGCAGATATCCAAACAGTTGTGGAAGGAGGTGGAAGAGCACTGTGCAGAGAAGTTACTAGTAATTGACTGGCTTTCCATAGCTGCCTTCGTCACGTAAGCACCTCACAGTCCCACTGGCCCATGAAGCACAGGCTGAAGGCCACTGCTTTAGAAATGGAAGGGACTGTTAAAAAACCAGCAAGGAAGAGAAGGAGGGAAGTACAGAAGAGACACTTGGTGTCAGGATGGAGGGACTGAATTGTGTCACTTCTGTGATTTGCATCTGCAAATTAGTAATGTCTGCATTTAAAAGCATGCACACTCTGACATTTGAAGTTTTTTCCAGTGACTGGCTCTGGTGACTAATAGTTCAGCGTTGCCTGATATATTTATAACTCTGTCAGAACTCCTGAGTGGGATTACTGTGCCTCTCCAGGTAGTTATCCAGCCTTCAATCCTGATTCCGTAGGTTATTACTGACAACAGGGGCAGAAGCAGAATGGCTGTTGAGGAATTGGAGATCTGACAATAAAAGAACTGTACTGGCAATAATCGAGTTATGGGGAGCCATGTAATAAAAAAAGATCCACTTTGACGGCATACTCATCCATTCACAGATGCTAAAACTCCACCTGATAACAGCACCACCCATTGCACTGCTGTGATGATTTACCTGCTGTCCGTGCGGGCATGAACAGCATTAGGGAACGACAACGGACCGCCACATATGCACACGCTCTCACTCGGCAGGTAAAAACACACCCACGCACGACTTACAAGATCTAAGGCTGCTGCCAAAATGGAAGCATCAGGGATAGTGCCTGGTTCACAGCAGTTGAGGAGAAACTGAAAGCGCTTCATGCCTTGGCGGATCGCTCCCAGGTTCACAACGTTCTTGGATTTTCCTCCTTCAGGGTTGGAGGTCAAGTGATCGTCAAAGCTATGGCAACCTGAAGAGGTAGAAAGTACAGCAGGGGATGCAGGGAGGGGTAGGGAGGAGGGAACACAGTCTCTCACCAATAAAAAAAGTGGCACAAAACCCCTGATTTTGTGGTCTAAAGCCCTTCCTCACCTTCATGTGCTACCGTGAGGCTAACAGGGACATTTTTGCAATATTCCTAACTTCCATGAAATAGGTGTACAGCAAGCCAGATTCTGGTCTTGGTCATACTGATGTCTGCCCAAAACTATTCCCCTCACTCAGTGTGGAAGCCCATGATCTGCTCCAACATAGATGAACCAGAATATGGCCCTTCCTCCCCACCTCTTTAACACAGAACACCACGCTTACTGTCCGTTTTTTTCTCCTCTTGTCTTACTACTCTATTGCCTCTAAGTTTACCTTAAAGTGGAGCATGCATAAACCTTATTCCTCGCATATCAACTTAGTAATATATCATCAACTAGGACAGAAAAGTCATCAGCAAATATTGGAAATGTTCTATGTGGGAATCAAGTGCGGTCCTTTTCTTAGGCATACATGTTCTGCAACTACCAGAACCCCCAAAGCGAGACTGGACTCAACTCCTAGGTATCATCATCATTCCAACCTCTCTCCCTTGAAATGTCTTGCACTCTTTGGGATGCAAAGGTCCCTAATAAGAGTTCCTTTTGAAAATGAAGCTAGCACCCCCCTTCCAGGGCTTCTTTCAAGCATGATTTTAAACTCCATGTGACGAGTTCCCATGATAAATCAGCTAATCCCATTGCCAATTGGCATGAACTCTTTTGAATGCAGAAGATCATTACGCAGTTGGTACCCAGAGTCGAGAGGGCGGTAGAAAGACACAGATGAGAAATCAGGAAAGTTGTTTCAAGGCCAAGATGGCTGGTCAAAACAAGAATAGTCAGCTTCTGGGCTTTTTGTCTTTAACCATTAAACTCTCCCTGTTTACATGTGAAAGTACAAATGTTACGAATGTTTACCAAATACTGAAGGATAGAGCACTGAAGAACACTGAGTGGAGGATTCAAGATTGGCTCTAAATATGGATTTGAAAGACAAGAGGCAAAATGTCAGCTTGACAGGACTTTGTGACTTCTCTTTCCTCAGGAAAGAAGAATAGCTGAAAATTCAAAGTCCCTTTGAGATTGCACTCCCCAGGATTACTTGGAAAGCACTTATGTACCACAAACAATAGTCACAACAGAGAATGACAGAGTAGATCTTCACTTTTCCCCTGAAGACAGAGTGATATCAAAAACCAAGAGACTTCTTTACAACATCTGTGGCTTTTCTCTCTCCAGTGAAGCTGTGCATAGTTTTCCAGTAAACAAAATGTTCCTATGTTGGGAAATAATTCATAAAAATGGACAAACAATTAAAGTGGAAAGAACAGATAGAACACTTACATAAATGAGCAGGCACAAATACCTTTTTATTCTAATTCCTCCTGTTTCCTTATAGCCTGTAGCATGCTCTCTGAGCTTTCCTGCTATGGCTGTTGTAAGACTAACCCATCTGAGGGACAAACAAATGTTTACTATTCAAGGCCCTGTTGGGGCTGTGCCTGTATGAGATAAAGAACAGAAACTTGCCTTTCTGATAGAGAAAGGCATACCTAAGGCATCTCCCTCACCCCCACTATAAAGATCTAGCAGGGGCTTTGTCCACCTGGGCTCAGTGGTACTACCTAGAGCCTGTCTATCATGACAGCCCTTTGCAGTCCCAGCCTTGCACTCCGTCGAAACTTTGCAAGAGGATCCTTCAGAAGCAGCTGATGACTGTCCTCCACTACACCTATCCTGGAGTAGCCTTGCAGGGGAGCTCGCTCTGACTTAACGTGACCCAGCCCTGCAGAAAATCTCACCCAGGGAGCGCAGACCATTTTCCAACATAGGAGGACACTGGATGCCCAAGCTCCCACCTCCACGGTTGCTTCCTGGTTGCTCCGAGATCACCCCTCGGAGCAAGCATGTGCTGTAGTTCACCTGGGCTGTATGCCTTGAACACCTTGGCAACTCCTACGGCCACTCACAATGTCTTCAGCCCAAAGGAATGTTAAGGGTCTCATGTAAACGTACTGTAACTCACTTCTGTATATATGCTGGGTTCTTAGTACAGGTAAAAAGATCATTAAAATAAACATTTTGTTATGCATGAATGTGCATATATTGATGTGTATATATATGTATACATATGCACACATACAGATACACACACACACGTATGTTTACATACATATCCAACACAGAATTTCCAGCGGTCTAGATGATATATCACAATGAAGATTACAATTCCTAAATGATGTGATAAGTTATTCTAGATTTTTTTTTTTAACTGTAATTTATTTCTCCTCTCTCCGTTTTCTTTTAAATTTGGTCTGCTACGTTTAAAAAACCCAAAAACACAAGAGGAAACACCACATGGAAAAAGCATGAGCAAAGTAATGGCACAACATCATGAATGACAAGAATGGGAAGACAGAAATAGGTTCCAAAACGATGTGTTAGGGTCAGAACTTGAGGGATTTCATAGTATGCCCATCCACCTTCAACAGGCTTTTACTCTCTTCTCCATAAGCACATCAAGCCTGCTGATCTTTATGGAAGATGGAGAAGCACTGGAAATTTGAAGGCCCTCTGTAACATTGCTGTCCTACTGTGTTTTAAGCTGCCCCACACTGAAAAGGCCTCACCTCAATTTCACTACACACACAGAAGTACATACGCACACAGGCACGTGCAACTGCTCTGCTGGTTCTTGCTAATGGCTTTCACTGCATGCCAGAGATCCTTGTGAGCATGGTGCTACAACTCCCTTAGCCAAAGTCACTCTTTGCTTTATAAACTTTAAATACCCTCCCTTTGCTTCAGGTAGTGATCAGGCAACAGTGCAATCCCGTCAGCATCTCTGGACAATTTGCCTGTTTCTCATACTGACATGGAAGGGTCTCTGTCTCTAACTCATCACATCCCTTTTAACATAAAAGATGTTTCAAGTTCCCTTCACTAATTAGATAAATTCTGACGTTACTCACCGAAGGCTGAAGTACAGACAACACTTCCAACGTTCAGAAAGCCAATACTAATGTGTCATCAGAGTTTTGTATAGGCATAAGACATGCCACACATGCTGCACTAGGATTTTGATACTCACAGGGCTGAGGCTAAATCTGTGCCATAAAATCAAGAATAGGAGTCAAACTCACAGTGGCATAAAAATCAGCATTAGCAAGATGAAAAAAAAGATTTCCTACAAGAAAATATGAAGGGCGTCTCACACGGGCACTGCTGTAGAAACAGCTGTGGCAGTGTATAAAGATCTCACTGCCCCTCAGCTGTGTGTTCCCAGTAAGAGCTGGGAGAAAATACAGTGGAAGTATTCTTTCACACCTACTTCAGCACAAAGTAGTGGATGGAGAAAACAATGCAGTTCCATTGTGGGGGTATGCACCTTCAGCTACCAAGCTACAATATGATTCTGGGCCTTCTCCTCCTAAAGGAATGACACTTTTTGCCTAGGGGCTAGTTGAAAACCACCACCAGTGTTTCTGCAGTGGTAGAATGACAACCAGTTCAGGCTGACAAGATACGGTCACACTTTGGTGGCATCGCTTGCCTGAACAATGCCTCATGTGCATCACACTGCAAGTCTGGGACAGATGATGGTGAAGTACACACGATGCAGCGTCAAAGTTAATGTCAGAAAATAAAAAACGCAATGACAGAGAATGCCACATACTATAAAGCTACAGAAATCATGGTGAAAAAGAAAAATCTACTCCTTTTTGTGTGTTTTTGGGAGTCGGGTTGGGTTTTCTTGAAAAAACAGTAACAACTTCAAGATACAACGTTTTCTCCCTGACAACAAGGATGAGCTCTGAGCTGAGGACAAGAGCACGTGAACGACTGCATGACATTTTAAAAGAGAATATATCATAACCTTGTATTATTCATAAAGGCACTTTTCAAACATTGCTGATTTTGAAAATGCATTGCAATTAAATAGACTTTCGTGGAAAGGAAAGGTAGTGTTGTTATTATTACGTTGTGTGCTAAGAAAAAGGGAGAGCAACCCTAACGAATGGTATGCAGACACTAGACATGCAAACACAGAAGAAAAGAGATAATTATAACAAGGTTTGTGCAGGGTTTTCCATTTAATCAGTGTTGATCTTTGCTAAAGCTGTCAAATGGTCACAAATCGGGGGGAAAATAAAAACAACAAAAAAACTGATGAAACGCCCATTGTTATATTTGGCAATGAAAGATTTACACCCCTAATTTTGAACTGTATAAGTGCTTTGAAGCAAGCATTAATTTTTCAAGTGTGTTGATCAAATTCAATTTGATTTAAAAAGCCCAAATGTTGTATTTGCAAAATTCATTTGGATGGTCTTGATTTTTTTTTTTTTAAATGGACTTTACTAGAGGTTTTTTTTCTAATCAAACAAAAGAAAGAAGGAAGGGAAAGAAAACAGTTACAAAGACTAAAAAGTTGGATAAGGCTAGAATGGATACAAAAAGTATGGAGAAAGCAGGAAAAAAGGGAAAAGGGTAAAATACAGAAAGAAAGAGATTAAAAAAAAAGGAAAAATATAAAAAAGAAAGAAAAAAGGAGACGAGAACCCTGATTTCTAACCATCTTTTTCTTCTGTGTGATGAAGCTTGGATGGGTGTCTTCGGCAGGTGCGCCATTTACCAAGACGCTTGAAGAAATTCTCCTCTTCGTCTCGCCCGTTGTCCAGGCCACCTCCTGGCCCCCCGCCTTCTGACAGCTTCACCGCGCTGGTGAACTTCACCTGTGCAAAGACAGAGGGTCAGGTCACGCCACGCCGCGCCGCTACCTCTTGGTCTCCCTTGCTTAGGCATGAAGCATCAACAGAAGGGATCACCATAGCAACACAAGTGGGTCTGCACAGATTTACGTAAGCTGAAGCACTTCAGTTTTTAAGCTTTCTGCTTAAAGGGTTTGTCTTTTGGTTGTAAAGGCACAAAGAAGGAAGAAGTGCGGCCAACAACTAAGCCTTGAGTGTGCTGGCAGAGCCTGCATTTCTCTCTCAGTGTACCAAGGCAGACTGACACGTACAGTGTAGGTTTAACCTAGTCTTCGCTGCGAGACACTGTGCATGATAGCTGCAAGTCCAGTATCAAAGTCCCATGGCACTCTACTCCGAAGACTTCCATGACCGAGTCTCATTGGCTGCAATGTCTGTATTGAGCAGAATGCTTCATAGAACAGCTAAAACCAGGTAGATCCTGGGCTTCCAAGCTCTCTGCAATCCCACCCGACACATTTACCTTGGAACTCTGCCTGATGAAAGACAGACGGTCGACAGAGCTGATATCGAGGAGATCTTCCACCCCGTCAGCCAGGCCAGAGAGGGAAGAGCGCTTCAGCCAGTTCCCTGTTGCAGAATAAGCCACTCAGGACAGTTCTGAAAATGCTACCAAGCAGAATCTATTTATTAGCAATTGCAGCATATTTCTCCAAAACGTCCATGTCAGGATATGGGAAAATGGGAGGAAAGGGGAAGGCAACCTTTTCACGTTATATGCATTAACTACCATCATGCAAGGCTGGGTCTTGGGACCTGTAAAGGATATATCCTTTGTCTATCAAATCCTATTTGGAATATTTCTCTTCTACAGAGAGGAACAATGCCTGTGAGATGAAGGTACTGGCCTACTACTTTGGAGGCACGGATTTGATATTCTGTTTTGCCACAGATATCCTGTTACCTTTGGCAAATTGCTTACATTTCCCTTTGCCTCAGTTCCCCATCTGTAAAATGGAGAGAGCAGCATTTCCCAGCTTCCCTTGGGAGAATACACAATATACTTGGACTATAAGGAACTTCATTGCAATATTTCTTAAGACTAGTACATCTGTCTGTGTTTTTCTGCACATGCAATATGTATATAGAATAGGAAGAGACATACATTTACCTATGGGGAGTTTGAGTTTCTTTCGAAGGGAGATTCGTCGGGAACGGGAGCGGGAGCGTCTGTCTGTGGTGGTCCCAGAATGAGCAGTGGTGCACTCAGATGTGTCCTGCTCAGACTGACTACTGGTATCACTCGCTGCACTCTGTGACTTGAACATCTTTCGCCAGAAATCCTTGCGTCCCAGAACAGCCCCTTGGATTTGCTCATCACTGGAAGATAAGGGATGCAGAGCATGAACTGTATTTCAGTGACGTTGGGATGCTCAGGAGAATGAGGCCTCCCTCCCACAGCCCCCTCCTGACCTCTTTATTCTTTGAGTTTTTTTCATTTTGAATTCCAAAAGTATTCTTCTCAGTGGAACCTAAGTTTGAAAGTGTGCTCAATATTGTTCAGGGCACAAAATAACCATCTTTTCTACCCTGAGGAGCCTGTGACTGAACCCAGCACATTCATGTAATTTTTAGTTTGTACATGTGAAAAAAAAAACCATCGTCTTTAGGTCAAATGACCCATACTGATAAGACTACACTGGTGCTTTATACAAACACGTGTACTGGAGAGCCCTTGGGCATCACAATAGCCATTTGTGAACCTGCTGGAGTCACAGTTCTCATCAACGTTTTGGAATGGGGACACATATTTTGCTGCACTCCTGAGATCTGCTATGGCTGTGGCAGGGCTCGGAGCAGAACAGCTCGCTGCAATTCCGCAGAGCAGTACAGCGCTTTGTGTTATCCTTGCAGCCTCAGCAGCCCTGAGACTTTGCTGATTCGTTTAATGCAGAAGAATACATAATCTAGAGCTCTGGGCCCTTGTGCAAGCAATGTCTTCGTGCAGTGCATCTCAAAGCCCTTTAACAAGACAGACGGGCACTCAGAGACATAGAGCTGTTAAATGACTTGTCCAAAGTTCCGTGGGGTCCAGTGGCCATTTACAAACTTTTCTGAAATTCTTACGAGTATTGATTAAATTTATTTCAATATTACGGCAGAATTCTTTGGACAATAGAGCCTTCAAACGTGCAATGCCTAACATCAGGTTGATTTGCTCATTAGGAAAACTAGTAGAGCACCTGTGCTGATAAGGGAAACAACAATCTTTGGAGACTACACAGCCAAAATAGGCCAGGAATGGGCTGGCCCTGGGGAGGCAGTGACCCTTAGCAACAACTTGGAAGCTGAAAATTAGTAGAATCACTTCCCAGGAGTATAAACAAAGCACAGTAAACAGCTGTGAGGACATCTCTGAGGAATTAAGACTCTATTCATGGCTATATGCGATATTGACAAATCTGCTGTGAACCATTTGAAAATCTCTGGTGGTTCCCCATCAAATTCTGGGTGGGTCCATTTTGGCAGCATTGGAAATAGGCATTACCTGAATGTTACTATCAGCAGCTCCTGCATACTCAATAGATTCCTTGTACCATCCAAAGAGATAAGTCCTTGCTGTTCTGCCCATTTGTACTAATTCCACAAAGAAGCTGCTGGCAATAACGCGTGAAACAAAATATTTACTTACTGTTCCGGAGTTTGCATTGGGCGGCTTGAGATGTAACTACGGCATTCATCAGGGGCGGCTGATGCCTGGCCTTTGTCAATGATGACGCTTCCCACCTCGGATCTGTACAGACAATACAGATCATCAGCTAAAGCGAATGGATGGCCCATCTCATGGTCATCACATAGCTACATGACGTGGAAACCAGCACTGCTGAGCAACAAAGCTGCCTTAGAGATATACCCCCTCTTCTCAACTTATGGACTCAATATATATCATTCATTAAAAAGGCATCAGCTCTTGGAAGCAAAGCCAAGGTGTTTTTGAGTTTTTCAACTTTCTTAATCCTCCTTCCCAACACATTAATCTGACAGCCCTCAAAGCACCAGAGAAAATTTCTTTTTAATAAAGAAGCATGTCAGGATTAGATTTCTTCTGGGATTTGTTTTGCATACTAGGGTTTACCTGTCAGATAAACAGATGTGATGCACCTTGAAAGCTATGTCCACAGAGTGTTTTGGGACTGACACTATACTTCTTACTTCTCCCAGCATTGCCATTGCACTCTTCTCTTAGGCCTCTTGTATGACACGGTTAGCACTTTTTGCCACAAATCTATTACCGTTTCAGTTAATTAAATTTAAAAGGAGACTGCTGCCACAGTACAGTTCTGTACATCAGGAACTGATATATGCTATCAAGATAAAACGCACAAGACCTTGGACTTTCTACATTTGTGTTCAGTGCCTGGAGTCATACAGCTATATGCAAGTCATTCAGTTGCCTTCTCCCTCCTAAAAACCCACCTTTTGCTCCCAGAAGGTTTCGGCTCTTGCTCCGTTTCCTCTGGTTTTTTTCCTGGTATTAACTTTTCTGCGCTGTCTAATAGGGCACTGAGTGCCACTCTCCGAAAGACATTCCCATGAGCCTCCTTGATAAACTGGACCAGCTGTCGGATGTCGCAGTACAAGCCCTGAGTTGCAAGACATCATGCAAATGATAGAATTCAGTTTGCAGTTTGTGAAGAAGCAGTCAGAATCAATAGTTTCTAAGGTGCTTCAGCAGTACATTACTTCCTCCGACTGTTGTCTCACATACTCTCCACTTACAGGGTTTGTGTTTTCCGGTTAGGATGAAAAGCTGGAAACTCCATTTAGTGTGCTCCGAAGAAGCAGACAATTAGGTGCATTATTGCTATGGAACATGCTCTGCAATGGGCCAAAGCAGATATAGAGGCATCGGAGGCTAAACCAGCTGCAAGATGAGAGCACTGCACAGACAACTTAATGCCTGGTTTATCCCATTCATCTAGCCCATAATCTTAACAGGCATGAAAAAGCTAAATGAAGGGGTGAGTGAGAAAGTAGAGTGCAAAAAATTGCATGTTTAGTTTCAGAACCAGTGGGTGTCTTGGGATTTTTCATAATTATTTTAGAGCTTTACATCATGGGAATGACTCAATCCTCAACCTACTCCTACACCCAAAGCTCTTTTTAGTTCTGAACATTCATACACATCTGTGATGTGATAAATCACCTCTATATATGAGGGCAAGTGGATGGAGGGAACAGTTTCACAGGACCTGATTTTTGATCTGTGCCCTTGGGTCATTCTGAAAATTCCCAGCTAGGAACTGGACAACCAGTTTTCAACAACAACAACAACAACCTCAAAGAAACAAATAATTGGATGTGTATACTGATTAAAGGCCCTTTTTCATAAGATATTGAACACAAGAATGACTTTAAAGAGTGATGCAACAACAGGAAATGCTCACATACAGTCTGCATGCTATGTTCTCCATATAGACACACTTAATGGTGCTAGGCTTAAAGATTAAGTTTCCCCTTAGCTAAAATGAAAGACATACAATTTATAAAATTTACATTTGGTGATCCTAACTTAGATCCAACATTGGTGCATGTTTTTCTGCATCTCACCACTTAATCTCCGCTCAGAAGCATTCCAAAGGAGTAATACCCATAAGAACATGAGGACTTGGACACAGGCAAACTACTCTGCTGGCCTAAGGTATTACTGTGTTTTCCTTCTCCTGCTCCCTTCCCCTCACAGAGGATTCTTGTGCCTTTAGCAGGACTTCAGTGCCTCTACAGCTCTGCCGTAAGGATGGACCACAAGAGTGCTTCTTGGCTTTTTCCATGAAAAATCCTAATTTCTGATAATAAAGGAGGTGGTTTGAGATTCTGCACCGGTTTGGAAGAAGAGAGCTCATGTCATCCCTTCTACTGACTTCTCGGGAGATAGCACATAGGCAGCACGCAGCAGCACCTTAATTTCCACCGGGGGTTTGGTAAATGGAATGTTTGTCTACACCTCGGGAAGACCTACCAAGTTGCTGTTTAATAATTGACGTGCTCTGCCATGAGTGGGCAACATCCTTAACCAACTAAACTGGCTTTAACTTTGCTGAAAGTTAATTTATGCTGTCTGTGGTCTTGTTGATTAAACCCTTGGTCCAGACTATGCTACTAATCCATTTGGGGGAAAAAACCTAATCAACTAAACAAACAAACAAACGCCAAACACAAAACCCCCAAACAAACAAAAAAAACCCACAAAACCCAACCAAACAACCCCACAGAGAAGCTGCTTGAACAGAGAGGAAAATGCAATTCAGGGTGCACAACTTTTATCCTGGCTGCAAGGCAGGCATGAAAGGAGGGCATCACATTCATTTCATGTTTCAGCTGTGACTGCATAGCTTGCTACGCTCATGGGATTTGGCTACACTGAATTAATTTTCCACTGTAAAGCTTTGCTGGTGACACCCAAGTGAAAAAAGTAACTTTCTTAATATGAAATCAAGTGCTTACCAGGTTTTCTGGGCTGTGTAGCTCATGTGTAGTGGAAGCACAGCGAGTGATCAATGACTTGAACATGGCACTCACAATAATACCTTCTACACTCTGGGCTGTAGACTTGTTGTCCACTGTGGTAAAGTTATTCCCAAATCCAGCCTTGTCTGTGAAATTCAAATACAAGCAAGCCCCCTTGTTAGGAATGGTTTTTAAAAGATGGCTTAAAAACACATGTAAAAGGATTCAGATACATGAGATAAGGGCAAGTTCCCACCCAATATCCTATGCTCAGTTCTCAGAATCCCACCCTACAAAAATAAAGTAGAATGGAAGGGTAAAATAAATAAGGAGGATCAAGTCTTCCAGACATAGTTGTAGGAAGAAAAAGGATTGAAAAGATCAGGACCACTCTGGCTTCCTTTTATCCACATCTTTCATGTAGAGATGTACAGAATAAGGCATAAAAATTGAATAATAACCTCCAACTTTTCTGTTTACTGTTCTAAAGGACAAGAGGTGTTCCATTAAGCTGAAAAGTGACAACACTCCTGAAAAGAAAATCTTCCACACTACAGGAATGCTGTTCTTGCAAGGCACACAAGGAGACCAAGCCCTCAGATAGAGTCAAAGAAGAATGACACCTTTATATGAAAAACAAGAAACATCCCAGTTTCATCAGGTGAGAGAAAAGGCTTTCAAAACCTGTATGAGCTGCCATGCTTCAAAGCGTGAGCCAGGCAATAATTGATGAATACTTGGGGAAACTTCCTATGGGCATCTTCTTTAGAAAAGGCTGCTGTATGATGGTTTTTGATGCTTTCTCTGAAATGTCTGAGATCACAGGTAGGCTAACAGGCCGGGAAGTCTCCCCGAGCGCTTCACCGCAGCTATTCCTGCTCTGTGAACAATCACTGTTAACCGCTGTTGCACGCGGTGGCCAAGCGGAAACATCTGGTCGCTCTAATAGCGACACACACGCGCACACGCTCCTAACCACGGGCGTGCGCATCGGTGTGTTCCCACTCTTGTTTATTCAATCTGTTCTTGCTGTTCACTGCCTCACCTGAGGCACCATAGAGGCTTTTAGTGCTCAATTATATCACCATTCAGAATAAACCCTGGATTAAACAGGCTTTTCCAGCTGGCGCCTGGTCGTGCCATGAAGCAGAAAACTTCCTGCCTGAGGCATAGTTGGATGAAAACCTTTTCTCTGAAGAGTCATGAACAGGTGGGATGAATCAAAGGAGAGGTCTTCAACTGCAAGTGCACTGGGTGAGGCAAGATCCCTGGGTGGTCAAAGCAGAAGAGATCCAGCTCCCCCGACCTGTGCGGGCTGAGGATATGGTCTGTATATTCTGAGGGTGGTAATTCACAATTTTTTTCTTTTTTAAAGGAAAATAAAAAGGTGTGGCTTCTTTCTGATGGTACAGTTTAGGAATATTCAAATGAGAGTTTCTGATGCCAGCTATACTTACTGTCAGTGACTGGCTCCATGCAGAATCCCAGTAAAGCGTGCAGGAAATCCACCACATTATTGAGAGAATCCCTGTTCACATAATCCCTCATGGTCTGCCGGAACTGCATCTTGTCCAGTTTGTACAGCTTTGTGAGGCAGTTCTGAGCCTGCAACGATACCCATCAAATCCCATCACATCAAAGTACGTGTTCGAGTTTTGTTAACAGGAGCAGGGTATTATTTGCTCTTGCATATCCAGTGTTCTGCTGTGCTGTCTAAAGTGACCTCCCCTAGGAGCCAGGAGGCTGGGGTGCTGTAACAGAAGATAGGTTCACCTCTGGAGCATACAAGAAGTTCAGCACAAGGCTGAAGGCACCAACAAGGCACCAGCACAGGTGGCACTGTTAGGAGGTGGTGGTGAAGTCAACACCATGTCTCAAGGCCTCTCCTCTTCTCCCCAGCCCCAAGGTAAAACCTCACTGAATATGAATGAAACAGGAATGCATCACTGAAGTCAAGGCTTATTGCCTTGGTGAAACAGGTTCTTAGCCTCAGGTGTCTGATTTTCAGCTTCTGGCTCAGACCCAACCCATTTGATGCACCTGTACCCAGTGACCAACTTATATCATGGAAAACATTAGTTTTTTATTTAAAAGTTATTGTCAACTGCTTATCACAAAAATATCCATCCTACTGGGACCCCATGCAAGCTGAAGTTAGAGAATCTGAAATATCAGCTCTATGGGAAACATGAACTCTCCTGCTACCTACAATAGGGTGCTTAACTTCCCAGTAAACTCAGACATGTGATTGTCCATGCAGTTAACACAAATGGTGCATGCAAAGCAGTTTGGCCAGACAAACGCACAGAAAATGCAGCAGACTTAGACATGTAGGAAAATCTCTTCCCGTAAAGACCATAATTCAGTGAGTCTGATAAGAATCTTGGCTCCAAGAGACCTATTCATTTATGCTTAACGTTGTGCATAGGTTTAAATGTTTTGCTGGCTCAGCTCTAACACAACATAAAAGCCTAAGTGACATCTTGATGAATATGGTATATCTTCAACCAGTCCTCTGTGCAGAACCTTTCCTCTGGGACTCTTTTACCCCACCTTGTCCCACTGTGTCCAGAACTAACGTTACTGCTGCTGTCTCCTCGGTACCCTGGAGTTTAGTGAACAGAACGCTGCAGCCAATCTGTCTCTGGGCCATCTAGCCCAGAACTAAATTACAGCTCTATTGGCATGGCTCAGGCCAAGCAAAGCCATGGAGAAGCACCTGGCTCCCACCCACATCGTGGATGGGCACGGTGTAAATTCTCATTGCAGTCATCAAAAATGCTCCCTGCTGCAAGCACAGAAGAGGAGGAGGAGGCATGTGCTGGAGGAAGCCTTTGACAGGCTCCCATTTGACAGGGCAGCAGACTGATCTCAGGGAGTCAAACTCTTCTGGCTGAAGTCAGCTGTCTGGGCTACATCCTGGGCACTTGCCGCTTCATCATGGGCAGAATCAGAAACGTAAGGAATCAACAGTGACCATCCACCCTGCCCTTCAACGGGGCATGAGTCTCCTATTTCTTTGCAGCACACTAACACGCCTGCAAGCACAGTGCACTCCAATGGTCGGGAGCTGATGGAGCAGCCCAGCAGCAACCAGTCGTCATCACCATTAGGAAAGGTGGACATTACTACACCTTAGACTTCTGGATTCAGAAGTGCAACCCAAGATAACTGCATGTCTTGTAAACAGCATACTCTGTTGGGGTACCGTCAGTGTGAAAAATTACTTACACCAGCTCACACAGGGGGTGTGCTCCCATATATTTGTCCCTTCCCAGACAACCCATCCATTGGGGTGCTCAGAAGCATCCTGGGACTCAGGTGTGCTCTTAGCAAGCCCCAGGGGCTGGAAGGCAACACGACAGCTGAAACATCTGCTACGGCTGGGCTGCAACACAGTCTGTGAGCTGGGGCAAAGAGCAACACATTTACTGCCGATACAGAGAAAGCTACAGAGGGGGCACACAGCAATCTCAGCAGCTGATGTCGAAAGTACAAGGGGGACACTTTAATGAGCTTTAGTTCTCTTACATTCTCCCGGAATACCTGGTGTCTCAGGCGATCTCCAGAGAGCCCTCGGTGTCCTTCTCCACAACCATAGGCACAACCCAGGGACTTCACAATTTTGATCAGCATTGTGAGTGCCAGCCTATGGGTGCTGACGGATGGGCCTTCATCCTGAGAGTCACAGAGGGAAAGAAGGTGTCAAACCCTGGTGCAACCGCTGGCATTTTGTTAGCGTTTTACTTTTAGCAAATTGCTGTCCATTTCTCCCCTCAGACACTCCATTACTGAGTGGTTAGTCTGGAAATGTTCACTCCAATTATTTTTCAGGTTTAGAAACCAGCCCTCTCCCTTTCAGCTCACCTCAAGAAGTCATGCTCTAAGTGCAAAGCCCCCTGCATGCTGCTATGAATACCATTCAGCACTTTTTTCAAAAAATTCTGCCTGAAAAACAGAGAGCTGGCTTGCTTGAGCAGAGAAACAGGCACCTTTTGAAAACGTCTTAGGCATTATGCTACTATGAATTGCAACTTCAGAGGTCTGCAACACCGTTTCCTGTTCAATTCTCATAGCAGTATTGAAAAATTTACAGGTTTTGGCTATCAAAGAAAGCAAACTGCTCATAGACTGGATTCTGGTTTTCCTTATAAACTATGAATAATAAAACCTGGGGGTAGGGGGGGGGGGAAATCATTGTGACTGAGGATTTCATGCACTTTAACATGATATTGAAAATATCCGTTCAAGGCTCCTAAACTCCGCTTTTGGCAGCTGCTTGGCTGGAGTAGTTACAGAGCTTGAATTCCCAATCATGTTTCTTCAGTGGAACCCCAAGTGAGCACCCAGAGAAAACAAAGTAATTTGTGATTGTGGTGCAAAAAACCAAAGGAGGGAAAAGAGAAGGACGATCGCATACACATGCATGCTGAATCTTAACAGATCTTACACTACATTCAGGAATTATATAAAGGGAAGGAAGACAAACCTTTTCCTGTTTTTTATCATTCTTCTCATATGGCCCTCCTCCTCCTCCTCCACCTCCATCACTTCCACCTCCACCTCCTCCACCACTTCCACCACCTCCTTCTTCTCCTCCATCTCCAGCTCCACTAACTGGAGGAGGCCCAAATCCACAAGCTGAACCAGCAGAAGCAGCCCCTTTGAGCTGAAAGGATCCTTCACTTGGTCTTTTTTCAGGGGCCTCGTTTTCTTTGTTCTCACTCTTCCTCCGAACCTTCTCTACACAGGGCACCACACCAAGCTGAAGTAAGCACTCCACAATGTTCAGTGCCACGTCGCAAATCCGGGAACTGATGTCATGGTTCAGGACCAAGTAAACAGCCTTCAGGACCACCTGGGAGATTCAAACATCATATTTAAAGTCAGACTTATTTTCTCTCCTAGTACTATTTAGGGCCTGGAAATCCTAGTCACGGACCAGAGACTCGTTATAGCAGGCACAGTACAAACTCAGAATGAAGTACACACAACCCTCAACCCCAAGAGCCTACAATCTAGGTGTAAGACAGGAAACCACAGGCTGGGCACAGTCAGGCAGAAAAGAAAACGATAAGATGACATCTGTGAACCTGAGAACACTGCTTCAGTGCACCGGGAACTGTCAAGTCAAGGGGAATGCAGAAAAGGTGAGTTTTAAGGTGCCGTTAGAAGAAAGGTGCTATTCAAATTTATACTATCTTATAGGGATCTTGGTGCATGCCCCAGGAACACAGCCATTAAATAATATCTCTTAAGATTTGATGTGTGCATTCCACATGCACATGCGCTCCTTGCAAGGAGTAATAGGAGTTGCAGTATCTCAGAGGAGACTTTTATGATATGCACAAATGTATCTGACTGACCTTTACGTACTGCTGAGAGAAGTCATATAAAGAGGTGGAGGAAAAGCCCATCAAAACCCTGATCTCAATGGTACAGCTATATGGACAGAAGAGGGACCTGGCTTTCCTCATTCCTTGCCAATTACCGAGAGATCCAGCATGCCGTTCTTGTGGACAAAGTTGTTGGTTCCATCAATGTGATCCGTATCCTCCAAGCAACTGTAATTGATGCAGGAGTCTGTCAGGCTCCGTGGGAGGTTGGCACATGCGAGCGGCTCATGGGGCATCTCGGGGATAGGCACCTGGTTGCAAAGCTTCCTCATGTGCTCACTGAAGAAGTCGGCGTAACCCACGTTGAATGAGGCCAGGGTGGTGTTGAAGGTGGCCACAGTGATGGTGGAGATCTGGGACCGCACTGCAGGGAGGAAAACAGCCACCTGTAAATTCCCATCTCCAGAGTTATGAAATGGCAAACAGGCTGTCCCTGTTTGCAAGAAGGGAGCAGCTCTTCATGCAGCTTGTAAAGCTGAAAGGCCAACAGGTTCCTAATTCCTATCATGGGTACAGGGATGAAAGCATAGATTCCTTTAAAACAGCATAAATTAGAACAACCCCAAGCTTGCTCTAGCAGTACAGTTCCATGGCAGCTTCAACTGATCTCAGTCAACTGGGCAGTTAAGTAGATCAGGGAGCTCAGCCAGCCTAAATCTAATCCAAAAGGGGGATTAGATTTTGGCTAGCTTTGCTCACTGTACTGGTCCAGTGCCTGCTCTTAAAAACTTTTTGGAAGGACTCTGCAGCTGGATGCAGAACTGAAGATAGGGCAACAGCAGCACTCATTTGGAACAGCTTTCTAAGACCCACCAGTTTGAAATATTTCATCACACCGATTGAAAGAAATTGAGCAGCGTGTTCCTAACAGGAGCTGTGACAGTCTAAACCACCTCCAAAATGCAAAACTGACTGATGAGAAAGGCAACGTGGTTTCTAAGTTCACAGTGCTCAGAGAAGGGAACTCATGACGCAGCCAAGCTTAACTTTAAACTGCTCGGCTCAGGTAGTGACAGCACTCTGGCTACACAGGCCAATTTTTATCAAGGATTCACCATGGCTTTACAACTCACACTGAACTCCAGGCCACGATGTCAGTAATTTCCCACACTTAGTGCTTTGTAAGTAGGTTTATACACCCTGTAGTGCAGAAGGACCCTATGTGTCCCAGTGTTGACTGGACCAGCTTCTGCCAGACAGTACAGTAGCAGGGCTGCGGAATGACAAAAAACCTCTACCTAAGGCTATTTAATGTGATCTAATGAATAAAATAATATACATCCAACCAGAATCTTCAGGCACTGACTCAGCGATGGATTGGTGATATTATGCACATAACAACTTGCCAGAGCGGCGACTGCATTTCCTCATAGCCCTGCCAGCACTCAACTAGCACTACTTATTAAAGGAAATGTTCCATGGCCAACAGTAGTAACTTGAACAAGGCTACAATTTGGTCAACAATCAGGGAAGGAATTAGCTTCCTGTAATCAGAGGAGTACTTGCTGGCAAGTGTCACTTTTTAATAGCATTCACTGAAATCTGCATGGTGTAGATAACCATAAAGATGGAATTAGGACCTTTTGGTCGTGAGCTACCAAGTTTGATGATTATCTGTGCTGGGATTAAACCACAAAATTATCCAAGGGTAGCTATTTTTTGTTTCACTAAGGTTTTGCTTAGTTTGTTTTGAAATAGGTAACGAAAGTCCAAATCCAAATCCTACATAAAGTAACATTTCCCGCGTTGTATCTTTATTTCACTATCACTGGGAGGGCTGACTGCTGGATGGGACTCTCGGAGGCAGGGAAGGAGGACTAAGGACTCTCCATTTACATCCCTGTGTGCCTGCAGCACGTGCCCATGTGTCCATGACTCCTCTTGAGCAGCTACCTAGGACTTAACTAATTTTTCATCTCTGCTTTTCAGTGTGCCAGCCAGAAGAAATGAGTTTGTTAGCAAATTTCTCCTGGACAGGGAAATTAGACAACAGACGGAAAATCATGAATAACCAGTATGCTTGGATATAACTGGCCAGACAAAACAAAAGACATATGCAATATTTGTACTTACTCTCTAACTACAGAAGGGTTCATTCAAATTCATAGAGTACCACTAGAAATAGTATGATTTGTCCTATTTTTTATATAGGTGCTGCACAATTGTACCTGGGGTACAGCTAGAAAAATAAGAATTGCATAGGCTACCTTTTAGAAAATATTTGGCTAGGAACCTGGTGTAGTGAGAGGGATTACTGTCCTATGGAATTAAGGCAGGTTGGGAAAACAGACTCCACAGAATTGATCCAGGAGAAGAGCTTCGCTTAGGAGACACAGTGCGGAGATGTGCCCACGGTGGATTAGAGCTGACTCAAATCCATCCTCTGGCAGACTGTTCTGATTTGCTGCACTAAAAGAGCATGGATCCTGTGAGCTCCAAGGCTACAGCACATATCATGAGTGCATCTGTACCCTCCTAGGTATGCTGCCTGACCGCTTGTGTGGAGACAGGCTGTGCCCTGCTCCATGGGGTGAGCGATACCCTCTTCCCTCATCAAGGCTGAAGGTTGCACTTGCCACAAATGAGGCCCAATCTCCAGCACCAGATTTTGCCAGTAGCTCGGCACATGAGGGAGACGACAAATTCGCAGCGGTAGGAGCACCGCCAGCAAAGCGCTGCGGTGCAGACAACCCTGCTGACAGAAGAGTGCTTTCCTCTGCTCGGCTAACTTTGTTTGACAAAGGTGGTGATGTCCCACCAACAGAAAGACCTCCTTCTGGAGCAGACTTCATCCCACCAGAGGCTCTCCCACCGCGGTCGCACTGGCATTGCTATTTCTGCAGAGGGCTCCAAGGGAAATGGGCCCCAGGGTGATTCCAAGGAAATTTAAAAGCCAGTCTTGTATTTGGAGCCAGGGGAATCAAGAAAAAGCTGTGATGCTGAGTGCAATCCAGAAGCTGCGGACTGTGAAGGGGCATTAAATACCATAGGATTCCCCATGAAACCACTAAAGCTAGCAATAGCAAGTTTCTGCTCAAACTTCTGTGCTGCGTGAAGGCGAAAAAAAACCCAAACCCTGATTCCTCCCTGCTGATGGCTGCCAATTTTTTGACAGCCTGCTCCAGATAAACATGAAAGGTTCACAACATTTTTCTGCACTGAACAAAAAAAAAAAAACACCAACCAAACTCAAGAGATGTGCTGAGGGGGGAAGGAGAAAACTATTTGTCATATACTCATGCATGGAAACAATAACACTTTTCCAGCTTCTTGGAGCTGATATTTCAGCGAAACGCTTCTTTCCTGATGTGTTAACTTTACCTTCTTTGACTGTGTTCTCTCCATGGCTGTTGGAGTGGTCCGGCAGGTCAGAAACCAGCGTGTGATGCGAGTGGGAATGCCTGGCGCTCAGGCTCTCCATCTCCGTTGCTGTATCAGAGCTTCCCCGTCTGGTAAACTTTCCTAGGGTGAAGACAAGAAATGGCTATTTTGTTCACTCAAGAGGTGCTTGGAGGCAAGAGAAAGTAACCAGGGTTAGATATCGAAGGATTGAAGTCAGCAAAAGCCTTCCAGGACCCTGCGAAGCAGAAGCAAACGTTATAGTGGGATATCTCTGTTCAGTGACATAAAGAACGAATGTACAAACCCTCTGCACGGTTCTTCCCCTCAGCTCATACTGATTTAGCTGACACCCACAGTGTCACCTTCCAGCAGCTTCAGGAAAATAAGATTGGCCAGCACTGAAAGATTCCACCCTTTGGGGTAAGCTGGAGGAATTTGGTTTCTCCTCCGCTTGTCCAAAATAAATAGGATGGGGAGTGCTAAAGCGAAGGATCTGTTGACCACTGGATCTGAAATACATGATTTCACTGAGATATCAGAATGAAACACTGTAGGTTAAGCCCACACAAGAATCTGTAGCCCTTGAGATCAAAATTTAACAACCTTCCTGAGCTACTGAAGATACGGGAAAGAGGATTTGGATACTAAGTTTCTCTTCTTGCACAGATCTGTTTGTGTATTAACTAATCGACAAAACACAGGAGGAATCTTTAAGAATCCATTTGGCTAAGTGGATTGTCCTGTGTCCCTAAGAGGGACATGTTTACAATGGAAAGCTTACCAAATGATGCCATCTAAGCTGGTAAAAATGAGAAGCCTCTGGCATGGCCTGAGGCAATCATTCTGCTGCCTGTCATCACCAAGAAAGGGTGCCAGGGTGAAAATCAATGACCTTAGGAGTCAGTTTGTGAAACAGAAACAATGCCTAGACGCTGCTCAGTGAACTTGGAAGCTTGAAGGAGACAATATTTTGATGTAAACATTGTATATTTGCAATACCAAGTGAGGCTTACACTGCCTATCTGAGACAATACCCTATTTATTTTGTATCCACTTGAGGAATACTGAATATTTTTTGCCATACACTCAATGACCAAACTGCTGCCTCTCCAGAGATTTCTCCTTAAAAAGAGGATGCAACCATTCCTCGAATCTATTTTAAGCTGCAGTTGCTCGGTGCTTGCTACCACTCAGGCAAAGTGTACTGAAGTGCTACAGACATGACTACAGGTTCCGAGAGCAAGCTAGTATTCCAGTAAAGATGGTAGTTTTCCAAGAAAAAGTGAACTAAAGCTTAAGTCATTCAAGGTCTGCTGTCAGCACAGTTGCCACTTCTACAAAAAGGTGTGTCATGCTGCAAACAGAGCCAAGGACATAAGGTGGCAATAGGATGGATGAAGAAATAAAGAACCTCTGTTCTTCTCTGAATGTTCAGGACAGGAACGACACAGAACCTGGGGCAGAGGTAACACTAGCTCACCTAATATGGTTGTTTGCCATCCTCCCCTCTCAATGCCACGCCGGTCCTCTCCGATTCCAGAGAAACTGCCAAAGGAGAAAGTGCTGCGAGTGGGTGAGACATCCAAATGATCCTCGTGGAGGAGGAAGGGCACCCCCATCCTTCGTTGCCGCTTCTTCCCGGTGTGGTGGAAAGGAATTGACCCTTTGCGCTCACGCTCCCTGTCCTCTTTGCGACTCTTAAACTGCAGGAGGAAGAGGAGCAAAGAAGAGATCAGGCAGAGGCTTTCAAGCACCGTGAACTACCATTTGAGGGGAAAAGATAATGCAGATGTGTGGCCCAAGGGTAACTTTTCACTCTGAGCTTTTTATTTTGTCCATTTATCCTGACAGCAACTATCTGAGATTATGGGAGCATTTAAAGAAACGCAGTCTTGCCCTAGGATGGGATGGATGCCCTTGTACAATTTTATGACAACCTCAGACCATAAGCTAGATTTGAGAATCCACAAAACTCTGCTAAGTATCTTGGATGGTTGCAAACCCAGAGCTTCATGCCGAAAAGACATCAGAAAAACTCACTGGGTTAGCTGGAACCACAGTGAGCACCAACACTTAAAAATCAGCACTATTTGAGTACCCTTCCCTCATGCAATTTCAGCAAGACAGTTATTTGTATAAAGATTCCAGTATTGTGTTTGGAATGTGCATATAAAATCCTACGTATTAACACACAGAATCAGTTCCAGTGAAAAGAGATGTCAGTCTCACATATCGCATGAATATATAGTCCAAGCAGACCTCCAGCTGCTACTTAGCAGGACACCGAGGTGCTGAATCATAGGTAAATTAAAGTACAATTTTCTTTCACTCACCTTTTTGAAGATATTCATCCCAAGGTCTGTGGAGAGATCTGGAACTGCTGGTCTACGCAAGTTGGTCAGTGAAACCTTGGAAAATGCCTCTGTGCTTAGTGATTTTTCTTCCTCATTACATTTCATAGTAAGATCCTGCAGTTCCCCAAAGAAGACAATAAGCACAAGGAGAAATAGAGGATAATCAGCTTAAACAAAAAAAAGTGAGCTACTTCCAAGAGATGTCACAGAACCACTGCAGAGGAAAAGGGCCTTCAATTCATTACACAAAACACTGTTTTTGCACATTTAAAGAAAAAAACCCAAACAAACAAACATTAGCAACCACCACAATTATTGACCTTGTCTAAGATTTTTATGACCACAGAAAAAAATGTAGAGCACGCTGTGCTGCCACAAAAAGCCTCAGGTGCTGCTGTCAGTGTGGTCTAGTGGCATGGAAGACTCATGTTCTACTCTGATCCGAGGTACGACTCTGCATAGCTGGTGATCCTCTGGAGGTCTCGGTTTGCATTTATGAGCAATCACAATGGCTACCTTTTTTCAAGCGTTAAAAAGCTCTAAGAGAATATGCCTTTAAAGATGTATTTTGGAACTGAGCTACAATAAGCAGTCCTGCCTCTTCAAGAGACCTGACTTGTAAAACTTTTATTTACTCACTAAAGAAACCTAAGACTTCTACATCAGTCATAATTGTCATAACAGTGCTCTAAGTTCTGTCCAAGTTCTACGTGAAAACCTTGAGGCTGATTTCCAGACAGTTCAGAAGAGGGCACTGTACCCCTTCTGCACTGAGCCATGCACATTACAGGTGCCTGCTGGAAAGAAAGGCTTTGCTACAAAAGGTGGCATAAGCTCAGCTCCTGGCCATTTGTTCTCATTAAAGATCTGATGCCACTTTCACGAGATCTCTCTGCAGCTGACATGACCAAATTCCATCGGGATAGTTTTCTTCTGCCTAAATATCAGCTTGTTTCCAATGGAGATGCTCTTTTATCCCCACTGCCTCATCAGAAAGCTTGTACTAAACAACCGGATCACCTTTTTGCTTTCGATCCAGACACAGCCGTATGCCAACGACAGATGATGTGAATCCTATGACACCGAAGGTTTAGGTTCTGGCTATCCAGACTGTGCACTGCAGAGCTCGCTAGCTCACAAGTCCACAGTTTTATGTGTACTAAGGTCCAGCAGAAGCCAGTAGCAGTCTCTGCAGCTGAAGTTTGAAGCCCCAGGTACCATGCTGGCAGTACTGGGCTGTGGGGACCATAGTCAGACTAATCAAAGGCTACCCTTGAATCCTTCCTATTAATTTTATCAACACATGAATGAAGGAGACACACAACAGAGATTCCCCCTCACAGCAGTTTCCAGTCACAGTCAGTCAAGGTATGCTTTTAAACCATTTTGTGTATATGACTAAAGATTCAGGGGAATCTTTAGTTTTTCTAAAGCCCAATAGACAGAAAATCAGGTTTCAATCCTAGGTGCTCTTAACAGTCAGGCCAGCAAGTATTTCATGTGGCTTGGTTCTCAGATTTACAGCTCTCTGGCCTCTTCTGGCTGGAAAACATCATATGAATTTATTTCAGGTTCACCATCTTTGTCCGTTAGTTACTAAATCAGTGTTCTATTAGGTGGCTCACAGTCACCAAAAGGACAGAGTGAGGATCAAGGCCTAGTGTGACACAAGCCATCCAAACACACAGAAAGACACAGTCCCAGCTCTGAAATCTGCCTAGAGTAGGTACCAAGCAAACACCACCAGAAAACCAAATTACCCAACCACCTCCAGTGTGGCATATGATGTATTTTAGTGAATCACGCCAGCACTCTAGCTGAAGAACAATTGAAAATGTGGCTATTCTGTGCAGTAGGCTGTGTGACAATTAGGATAAGATGGGGAAAAAAAAAAGGCAAAATATTTTTGGGGCTGCTACTCTAGACTTTGTCATTACTGTTTTCTGTTGCCTTCCTTCTGCATGACTCTATGCCTACCAGCTCATTAGTATCTCAGCAAGATACTATACTTGAGACTCTTGGCTTTCTATTAGCATGGCAGCGAGCACTACAGCTGCACTGGTCTTCTGCTTAATTTCAGCTTTGGCTCCTTGCCCCTGCAATGTTAGTGCAGGAGGTTGTGAGCCTCTGAAGGTTTCATTTCCTAGGCCTGTCATTACACTGAATTCACTGCATACAGGTGCAGTGCAGGTTTCCTTTATCGCATCTTGCCAGGTCTGAAATATATTTAGACTAAAGTCACTTTCCAGAGGAAGCTAGTATTCATTTTATTCCCACTCCAGCCAGCACTCCTTTTCCCGTGCAACAGGAGTGCTGGCACGTGCACTGAATCTTTTTCTTCTTTGCTGTTCAGTTTACTGGGCAATACATGGAGGGTGTTGTCCATGTTCTCTCAATCCCAACCCCTTTAGCCCAAGCTTATATTTGAAATGGGATTTCAGGCACACAGAAACCAACAAGAAGTGTGAGAGTTTTGCTGAGGCTTAGGGAGATGCAGGACGTTACCCTGATAAACTGCAGGACAATAGAAAGAATGTGGCTTTACCAGAAAAGTCTACTGATCCCTGCTATGGTTTGCAGGCAGCTGTTTTTGTCTTTAATCAGTTTCTGCTTGCTGCTGAAACACAGGGTGTTTCAACCTGAAATGATGACATTGCCTTAGGGGTTTAAGATCTAGACCAAAAAAGCAGGCTTTAAGCACATTGCTCTGTTGGATGCGCTGGTGAAGTCTCAGCATACAACCCCTCGTGTTGAGAGAAATAACACATCTTAGCCTTCTAGAGGTGGCATTCTCTCCTCTGACTAGCAGACAGCCCTGAGTGACTCTGAATTTAAGAACAACTGTTGAGTCCCTACAGTTGACTGGGATGAAACAGAGCCTAGATGTCCCTGGGAGCTGCAGGTTTCAATCTGCAGAGCTGTGAAGTAGGGGGGCATGAGCTGAAACTTGGCCTGCATGAAAGACTGATTCACCTCCTCCATCACAGCTGTTCTGCAGAACAAACTGGAAACCTTTCTAAGCAGGATTCCAATTTGATGAAGTACAGTAAAAATACACAGGATTGACACCGAGGTTACCAAAAGCAATCAAACCTAGCCCTAGAGGGAAAAATGCCCTGGACAGAGTCCTCGCATTAACAGCTAGAAAGTACCCAGCGGAATTGCCAAATGGATTTAACAGAAAAATATTAGCAGAGAGCAACTGAGCAAAGGAATCTTCTGCAAGAGAAACTGCCTGGAAATCAAGAAGTAGCCAAGTGTGTGAAAGGAGAGAAACGTTTCCCTATACAGCAAAGAACCAGCACGATACTAGAGCAAAGGGTGTCTGTCGATGCTGTGCTGAGAACCACTCCCTGTTGCACCAGCAGCTAAACTTGGTCATGTGCAAAATAACCGGGTTGTTATGAGCAAAGGCAAAGGCACAGTGTTTGCATGGAAACCGTGAACCACATCAACAGCAATGTCTTCCAATTCTCTCTCCAGGAGATGATATTAAGGAGGATTTTCTGTACGGGCACAGCAATCCTATAAAATCCCCATGCAAAGGTAGATTAAGACTGAATAGTAATTCATATCACCTGGCCTTTATGGAGATATGTCAAGCTTTTACAGGGATGAAACAGGCATCATTTTATAGGAATTACACTGAAGTATAATACAGACTAAACAATACTGCTGCTGCTGAGCCCCTGAAACCACAAGTTACACCAGCCCTCATAAAAATCATAGGAATGGCTATAAAATCCTAAGATTTACAAATAACAGTACTAATATTTGCATTGATTATGCTTGTCTACTGGCTTATGAACATCTGGGCGATACAGGAGAAAAGATGTTTCACCCTTCTCCCTTATAAAATGAGAGGTCAAAAGCTGCCAGAGCTCTACAATACTGAAAGCATGGATTTTAAGAAAAACACAAGAAAATTGAAGACTTCTGACTAAAAAAAGACATTTGACAGCAACATTAACAGAAGATACAGCCTTTTACTTGAGGTGTGTCATAAAATTGGATAGCAAAAATAGAATCTGTATTGAATTTTATTAGGCAGTTCCATCAACTTAGGAAATCAGAATTTGCTGTTAAAAGCCCACATGACAGGAAAAGAATACACAACCTAAAAGTAGCACAAATCAAGAAGGAGATTAACTGAAACTGCAGCAGCATCCCCTTTTTATCTCTGAAGCAACAGCAAGCTGCCCAGAATTAAAAACATAGAGGCTTTAACACAAAGATCTTTATTGCACCAAGGTCAGGAGCCTGGCATTCCTTCTCCAGCAGAACAGAGAGTAAGCCTTGCCACCTATTAGGACAGTTTGTCTACTGAGGTTTTGTTGGCAAATCTAAAAGTTACACAACAGGAGATAGGTAACAACGTGGAGCGCTTTTGCTCACTCCCACTGTCCGCCAAGTCTGCTCCAACATTCCAACCCCAGTGCCCGCCTGCAGCGTGTAGTGCTATATCCAGTGCCGTTTCTCTTCCCTCTTTTGAAGGGGGGCTTACACCAAAGCAGCTCAGGGAGTCCCGAGCATTACATTGTGCAAAGGCAGTTTGATTTCTCCTCACAACTACATTAGTATATTCTCCCATTAAAAAAACAGTTATCACTGTTCACCCTAGATTAATTATCCCAAATCAGCCCTCAAGCTTTCAGCAGTCACCAGCTCCCACTCTCTGCATCAGGTGCTGCCTCCAAAACCCACATCGTTCGCAGGGCCTCTTTCTGAATCGACACCCGTTCCTGACCTGCGGGCACTTTAACCAACACCAAAGCCGTGCTTTGCACTAGTTGTCCAGCCATCACTTCCCAGCACCACCACACAGCTGCTATTTTCTTACGGATTCCGACCGCTTACCTGAGTTTTGTGGGTATTCACCAGGGAGGGTGCAGCAGCCACCATGGAGCTGCTGCGAGGTCTTGGCAAAGGGGTGATCTCCGGCTCAGGTGGTTTCTCTGGCTTCTCCTGCAGCATATGCCTCAGCCTCTGCAGGTAGTACATCAGTGACCACTGCGTGCCCTCCTCGGACCAATGCGGCTGCAGCAGGCAGCGCAGCACGGCCACATCGAAGTATGTGGCATAGCGAGACTTCTGGCATGGTGGGATCACCAAGGACACCCTGTTCCAAAAAGCAGGAGTAAAGATGTTAGTCGTCAGACTCCTTAACCCTTCTTAGATTAGTGATGATCACCTGGCTTGATTAGTGATGATTTGTTCGATTATCAACTAGTTCGTTGATGATTAGTTGATTAGTTCAATGATCAACTAGTTTGATTAGTGATGATCAACAGGTTTGTATGTGCAACTGTTCTTAAGGTGTTGCTTTTAATACCACAAGGTTTCCTTTGATAGCTGGAAAACAGTTCTGTCCCTAGCAAACATGCTGATCCACCCTGAAAGACCCAAGAGCTCTAAGAGGCCTAAAATATAGCCACTCGTCAAGAGCTATAAGCCATCCTCGTTCTCCTGCCATCTGCAGAAAACACCAGGATGTGCACGCAGCAGCACGTGCTTCAGCTTGCCGGGACATCTGACACTGACCCGTTGGGAATAAGGCCCTGACTGAGGAAAGCATTACCGAAGACACGTAAGTGGATATTTAGCTTTTAGCTCCCCAGAGGAACTCGAGTACATGCTTTGTTAAGTGTTTTCTTGGGTAGGGTTGCTTTCTTAAACTGTGGGCTGAAGATAAGCTGCCAGCACCTGCGCTAACTGAAGGATTTGTTCAGCTGGAAACAAGACAACCCCTAAGCATCTGCTGTTCAGATACCAGTGATACATAATTAGGAATGGTTTGCATTTGCACATATCAGGCCTCTCTTAAGAAGGAGCAAGCAGGGCAGCTAAAGTAGTTAACCCTTTAAGCCAATTAAATTGATTCTTATACAAGTAAAAATTACTGTTACGGACACTCTTTGCCAAGGTGTGCTAGAGAAAAGGACCATTTTTAGCCTCCATTATGATTTTCCTGCTTTTTGGGTGGTGTCATTTCCTGATGGGCTTTAGTATGGCATTTCCAAAGTATTGTAGAATTTGGTGCATGCAAAAGCACCATGTCTGTAGTAAGCCTCAGATGTGAGACTACAGAGATTTCAGATTTCAAAGGGATCGTATCTGTTTTCAGAGCCAATCTTATGGCAGAAAAATGCCCCAAGCTTTTTATTATTTGGGTTTTGGATCACTTCTCTCCCAGCAGAGTACAACTGGCCTGACCTACCCTCTGTACAGTCACTAGATGTTAGGAGACATTCTGTCAGAAAAGCAGCGGTGAAAGCGAGTTGAAGGAAGGACAATCACATGGCAAAAGAAGGTGTGACATGCGGGATGGGGCAGGAACTCTGGAGATCTGTTGGTTTTTTTATCTGGGGAAATCTGAATGTTTCTACTCAGTGTCTTAGAAACACACCTCTCTGAACTCAGGGCCGCTGTGATTTTTGGGTTCTGTAAAAATCAACAGCACTTCCATGAATTGTATTCTCAGGCATTTGGAAATATCACATCAAATATTTATTTTATAAAAATTATTTATATTATCCATTCTGCTAAACAACATACAAACAGCCTTGGCAGGACACCCCCATCTCCAGCTGGGCACCACCACATTCTGAGCAGAGGCAGCCAAGGTGTCCAGCAAAGCTTCAGGGATTGAGCAGCAATACTGCCCAGTGGAACCTCTAATTGCTTCAAGTGAAGTGCACGCTTAAAGTGCTTGGCTGGATCACTGCCCAGGGCCACAACGCTGCCCTGTGCATCCAAGACAGATACAGGACTGGCAAAGGCAAAAGAAGTGTGCAGTGAACGTTGACACCACTTGGAATCGCATGAACCCTGCTCCATATTACACCCTTGGAAAGGGGGGGCAGTTGTCAAGGCTGGGCTTGGAGCAATGTGGGCATCTAGAGCTCAAACCTGCAGGAGCTGGTCTGCTGCCAGCCCCGCAGGACGATGTTGAAGGCACTTGGCGACTGCAGACCAGCCCGTCTGTGTCAGCATATGTCACTATATGCAACCTATAGATTCAAAGCTTCCCCCCTAGTGCTGTAGTCAAGGTAAAACTGTTACAAGTCCGAGGACTTCAAAATGAGCTGTTACAAAACCCTGAAAAGGAAGGAGAAAATAATGATACATGGAAACATGTTATAAAGTTTTTCCCCATAAACCTGATGGGAAGGCTGTGTTTGTCACAGCCAAGATTGTGTCACATAGATGCAGCCTGTAAACAACCATAAGGATAGCTGGGATACTCAAAGCATCCCAGCGAAGGAAATGAAGCCCATCACCTCAGTAGCAAACATGAAGGATGATGCATTGCTCCCTGGTCGCTTTGCAGGACCCAGAGCAGTGTCTGAGTCTGAACAGCCCTTCATGCCCCCCTGTATGCAGCACAGTCGAAGCCGGGGCACAGCACAGCTCGGAGCAAGGCATGTTCTCCTTCTGAGCACTTGTCACTAAAATCCTTCCTGCAAAGCCCGTTTCCCTGGCAGCATGCTCAAGGCAGCAGCTGGATAAAGGGCTGTGGCTGTTTGCTTCAGTGTGTCATCTCTAAATGAAGAATTCCACTGAGTGGAGCAGGGATGATTAGGCAGGATCAGAGGAACAAGCCATTTGCTCAAGAAGGATCTGAGGAACCTGAAACCTGTGCTTCACTTGGAAGGAAATCTAGTGTTCCTATAACCAGTTCTTGGTTCCTGTGACTGCAGGGAGAGGGGAAAGACAGCCTTCCTTCAACCCCTGCCCAAGGACAAAGGAATACTGCGGCTGTTGGTAAGCAGAGTAAACAACATTTGTTCCCCAGTTGTCGGTCGCTTGGCAACCGAAGCTCCCTGTACAGTTTTAACTGATCAATGAGTTCTGCAAATGAGGAGACATAATGATGCTCTCTTCAAAGCCTGTCTGCAGCTTCATCCCCATAGCAACCACCAGACCCAGCTTGACAAATTGATCACCTGATGCTGTCTTCTTAAAAGGCTGCTTATTTTTTTTTTTAAGGCTGTGCACTCTGAGCACTAGTGTTCACACACAGAAAAGCAGTTCTGTCCCCAACTTCGGTTTTATTGCCCCATATTAATAAAAAACAACGACCCAGATCTGACAGCAGTCTTGATGCAAAAATCCTGAGAGAAGCCTCCTGAACCCTAGAGAACAGCTTTGCCCTTTCCACCTGGGAAAGGGTTTCTCAAACCCCCTTTTGAGAAATCAGAGCTGTTCCTAGATTACACCAGAAACCCACTCCATCCCACATTGCTTCTGTCTCTGTAACGAAGCCATTTCTTAAAATATTGCAGTCTTCTGGATATGACATTTCTCAAAAGACATAAGCAACAGGACCAAAATTTTCCGGAGGAGTTTAAGTGACGCTCCTAAATCCACAGAAAGCTCAAAATACAATTAGGCTTCCCTCCCTCTCCACCCCCTGAAAACACTCATCAGCTTCATTTACTTCATGGCACTACCAAGCACTACTGAAAATAGGATCCTACTTTTACCTGCCCAAATCTAGATTAAAATAAGGTAATTTATTAGTGCCATGCTGGAAAACCATGGCCTGAGCTCCGCAGGGCAAGGTGGGAGGGTGTTTGTGTGGCTGCGTTTCTTTTTGTTAGTCTGTTCCTTTGGGCCAGTACTCTAAAGCAAGCTAAGCAGCGGGATGCAGAGAAGGCATGATGAAAGTGATGGAGAGAGGCTTGCAAAAATCCTTTGCTAAAGGCAAAGAAAATTTGATCAGAAGGGAGCCAGAAAAGATACCAGCTGCCTGAGGCCAAATCCAGCTAAGGAGAGTTGCACCTGCAGGGTAGCTGTTAGTGCCTTTAATTCTAAGAAACCAACATATTAGAACAGACCAAAGAAACTGTCCCAACAGGCCAGTTAGAGATTTCTCCAATGAAGGTGGCATTGAGTATCAAGTGTCACCACCTTGTCCGTCACCCGAAACTGAGATTTGTCAAATTAGGAGTTTGAGGTAAATACCCTTGGTGTGCACGCACAACAGGAGATACAAGTTTAAGGACTTCTGTGGCATCCACCCTAGAGCCACACCAGCCTAACTTTCCACTGAAGGGGTTTGTACCTGGGATGTGCAGTACCTCTCTCCTGAGAGGTTTGGGAGGATACGCTTCCATCCAAGGAATTTCCACGATGACATGCTGAAACAGTGGCCTTTAGGGGTACAGAATCTGGTTGGGTTGTCTCACAGACCACCTGTAGTCCCTTTGGATAGTTTTAATAAAAGAAAATAGGTATATAAACATATTTATCTCTCTCATATCAATTTTCTTACTGCAATTTGTGCTTAGACATGACTATTATTTATACTGTAATACCATGGTAATGCAGTGGAGAAACTGATCAAGCCCGGGGCTTCTCAGTACTAGGCACTGTAAAGGCTAAGACAGGGCTCTGGCCCAAGAAAATACGTAACAATGGTTTTCCATCCTACATGACAGCACAAGGCCAAGGAGATCCTGACAACTATATGAATACCCTTTGGTTCCACTGCAGACAAGGTCGGGAGCCTTCAGCAGAACTGTGAGGAACTGTAATTTCTGGAGATCAAATCCATCAGTGCCATAACTGCAACTGCTGTTTCGATATTAATTTCCCTGCTCCCTCAGCTCCTTATTCAGGCTCGTCTAAGCTTAGCATGGAACATACCTCACTATGTCCACTCTCCAGGTTAGGGGATTCACAGGTCATGCTCTGGTTGTTGGTGGGAGAACTTCTCTTAGCTGAGCAGAGAAGACAAAGGAGGATATTTCAGGAGTCACCTCTAATATTAAAATATACCACCGAAAGGGTAAACGCAAAATCAAAACCAAACCCAAAGCAGCATCTCCCCTACAGGCTTCCTAGGCATTAGCCACATCCATAAAAAGAAAACAAAAAAAATTGTTTAATTTTTGCCCAATTCTTTGAATTGTGCTGTCAACATTGTTTACTGAAAATCTCAAATTTGAATAGGAATTTTATCCTAAAGCCATCTGGCATCAAATTGTGCTCTCCCGTGCATACCAGTGCCTTTTATTTTGGAGCTCTTCCTCCTCCCGTTTTCACATTTATTCAGCTCCTTATCTAGGTTACATCTCTCAGAATGTATTATGAGTCCAGCTTGACACATGCCTTCATCACAGGAAACACACGGATGTCACACAAAGTTTGATGAGCGATACTGCAGAAGAACGGGGGCATCACAAAGGCTAGGGTGACAATTCTGGAAATCCTGTCACATCACAAGCTATTCAGATGTGACTGAGTATCAGACTGACTCCAAACAAAACATTGCAAGGCTTCTTCAGTACAATTTTTAAAATTTGCTCTTTGAAGGAGAATTTAAGTACATTTAACTTTTTTTTTTTGAGACCAAAATGCTAAGATAGAAGAATATTCCTTGATATAAAGAACCTCATGCCAATTTTTGCTGAAAACATTTTCAAAACATAACAGAGTATTTTCATTTCAGACTTTACTCCTGAACTTATCCTTTTAGGGATTTTCTGACCATACTCCAGACCTACGGAAAAAATTCCAACAGGCAAAGAAAATGTAGGACTAATTCCTTTTGTTTGTTCCAGGGCAGAAATCCTATCTTTTGATTACAGAAGCTGAAGCAAGAGGGAGGAAGAGCTAGATGTCAAAGATGGTTTTTAATAATTTGAAAACACATGAATCTTTCCAATTCTGGACTGTCCCAGCGGCCTACAAAGCCTTCAGAACAAAATATGACATGCAAAATGGCTTATCAGAAAAATCTGGTGAAGCAAACTACGTTTTCACTACTGTGAAAATTACAATTCTGTGCATTTGAAAACAAGCGAGCAATGCTACAGCGATATACCCAGCACACTTTCAATGCGCTACCTCGTAGGAATTACGCAAAACTGGTATCTAAAAACATAGAAGTAAAAAAGGTGGTTTAGAACCAGGCCAGACACAAAGGCTTGGAAGCCTAAGCACCCTACTCCAGTCTCATTACGGCTGAAGTACAAAGGAGGAGCAACCCCTTCCAGTATACAAAGGCGAATTCACAACCTAAACCTCCCTTGGAGCCTCTCGAAACTACCTTGTGTAACTGCGTAACATGGTGAAATGCACATTTTAGGTAGGAGGAGGGCCTACATTGCCAACTGTGTGCTCTATACTGTTATTTTTTGTCTGGTGCCAGTCTGGCAAAGCCTTTCCCACCTGAGTCAGGCTGCTCCTGGATACTGCTTTTGCCCTTCTTAGCAACTAAGGAAGATATGGTGAAAAAGAAATATGAAACTCTTCAGTAGAGTTTTTAATTTCCTACTGGCAATTTCTCTCTCATCTCCTATTTAGTTATTATGCAAATGTTGGTTGATTCTGAGGTGAAACAACCTTAAACTACCTCAATGGTGTGACTAGTTCCTGCAGGATTAACATGATGGTTACAGGCAAACAAAGGAAAGGTTTCCCCGCTCTCAGGTGCTACATTACCACAGCAAAGTCACAGACCTGTAACGATGTTCCTGATTGGTTTCACAAGGGCATTGAAGGCAGAAACTTCAGGCTGCCTGTGTTCCCACATAGGCTGCCAAATAACAAGGCCACTAGCCAACCGAAATGTAAGGTCAGACTCCTAGAAAGACAAACGGAGGTTGTATCACACAAGCTCAAGCAACAGAATGCTGTTAGCCGTCTAAAAGGATTGTCCTTTCTCTGATGCACAGATCTTACAAGAAATGAGTGATACCACATGCAGTTCTGTGGTCAGTGTAGGCTAACTCAGGGCTGCTGACACTACTCAGCAAACTAATCCATTTTAAGTATAGCTATCAAAAAATAAGAGGGAAATCTCAACACAGAAATACACAATATACAAATATAAAATATACAATATAAATCTCAAGACATGACACTTCTGTGCTAGTTAATGAACCCTGGTTCTTTTTGGGGCATTAAGCTGTAAAAGAAAAGGTCATTCCTGTGTCAGAAAGCATCCCTTCTGATTGTATATAACCACTTCATAGCTACTAGTCAATCTCAGCCTTAGTATTCCCAGTCTGAGACTTGAACTTCTTGCCCCAAAAGAATAGGAATACTAAATAGGAAAACATTACCTAGAAATTGAGAAAATAGGAAATGCAACAAATCACTATGAAATAGCAGTATACAATAATGTTATTATTATTAGCACTGTTAGTATGCGAGCTATGTCAGTGCAGAGACATTGGTACTGCTCACACTTGTGCCATCATTGTTTTACATATGCAAGTGGCTGAAATCATGTAAACGAGTACACGAGTAAATCTCAACAGGATCAAGGTGCCGGTCTGCACTTCTGTGACCCACAGTCAGACCTACATTTGGAGACACTGATGTCGGTATAGTCCAGCTATCCCCCACAAGGCAAACAAACATGGTAGTAGCAGTTTTGGCAGCATAATTACAGCTGCACCACTGTCTCCTGTTGACACTAGCAGTTGGAATCAATGATGCAGACAGAGCTGAAGGAATGGCAGGAGCTGACCGCTTGTAGCTCTCCAGCCCTTCTACTGACTCCTCTTTGTTAGTGCCGTCTTGTCATAACGAACTCACAAGCCTTTATAAACTGAGCCTGTTTTTAATGACTATTTTTAGAAGGAGCACCTTGCAAGGCTTTTGGAAGGGGTAGCATTTTCACTTTGCACAGCTGGCTTTTGGTGACACGCCAACACTTTTATCTACAGTTGTTAAGTTGCAGGATTACCCGCATCCCCCTCACCCCACAGAAGCCTCATTTAAAAACACATTGCTAAATACACAAATCCTCTCAGGAGTTAGGAGTTGCATCATTTAGGTCTGCCTGTGGGAACACGTATCATCTTCCTTGAGCACAGGTATTACTTTGGTTATCTGATATTTTATGTTCTCCCCCTGAGACCTCTGCCCCTGTGAAACAGAGGGGACAATGCTGATTTAGAGAACCACTTTACATGCCTCATTTGACTCATCTTTTTTGAGCTTCACTCTGATGACAGAAACATGCATGGTCATTTCAATATTCAACACCACAGTATCTCAGAGATTTCCAAGGTAAAACTGAGATGTTGTTATTAACCCCGTCTTGTAAATGTGAAAATACATCCCAGAAAGATTAATATTTAAAAAAAACCAAAAAACCCCCAACCCAAAACTAATCTTTAATGGCCAGGGTCTACTATCAGTTTCATTTTGTTTATTCAAAGAGAAGTCCACACTCATGGTGTAGCACTGGGATGAATTCAACGTTTCTTCCTGTCATGTCCCAGCAGCTTACAGAGAAAATGTGGAACTAGTAAACAAGTATAAAAAAAACCTGGGCTAAATCAGTTGAGCAACACTGTGCAGGAAATCAGTAGCAGA